GCATTCATAAATAATAATAAGACTCCTTGTGTGATTCATTTGTGAGCTAGGTTCTCCTCAAAAGAGGAGAAACATTTTACTGCTCTGTTCTAATTTGGAAGGCACAAAAAAGAAAAAGAAACTTGTGAGAAAAATGAAGTTGAGGTGAATTCAACTAGCCTTTAATATAGCTTTATTCTTACTAATTGGAAAGAATTTCTGTTAATTTTTATGTCATTCTTCTGTCCCCATGTAAGTCGCTGAAAAAAATGTTATTTGAGTGTCTTTAGTTCAAAACGAATCTCTAGACTGCCCGTTTTCAAACTTGATTTAGTCCATTAATATCTTTAATCTGTTAGTGTTTGATTTTTTTTTTTTTTTTTTTTTTTGTTTGTTTCTTTTTTGAGACAGTTTCTCTGTTTAATAGTCCTGGTTGATTTTTGTTTGTTTGTTTTTCCAGACAGGGTTTCTCTTTATAACAGCCCTGGTTATCCTGGAACTTATTCTATAGACCAGGCTGGTCTTGAACTCACAGAGATCTGCCTGCCTTTGTCTCTCGGTGCTGGGATTAAACTTGTGCACTACCACCACCTGGCTAGTGTTTGGTTTTATTTCATTTTATTTATTTGTTTTTGGTTTTTGGTTTTTCGAGACAGGGTTTCTCTGTATTGCTTTGGAGCCTGTCCTGGAACTAGCTCTGTAGACTAGGCTGGCCTTGAACTCACAGAGATCCGCCTGCCTCTGCCTCCCAAGTGCTGGGTGGGACTAAAGGCATGTGCCACCAATGCCCTGCCAGTGTTTGATTTTAAAAAGCTATGATAAACTTACTTTTTAAAGGTCTGTAGTTATTAGTTTTGTGTATATTCATGATATAGGAAACCATAACCATGATCTAATTTTATCACATTACAATCAGCCCTCAAAGAAACTGTCATCATTTAGTGGCTGTTCACTATCTCCCCTCTTAGCCCCTGGAACTGGTTATGTACTTTGTGTGAATTTGTCTCATTAGGACATTTCATATAAATGAAATAAGTATTATATTATAGCTTTTTGTTTGAGTTCTTTCACTTAATATGTTTACAAGTTTCATCCATGTGTGTTTTATCAATATATCCTTTTGAAGGATGAATAATGTCCCTTGTATATATATATAGTACATTTTTTTTGTTCATTTACCACTTGAACATATGACTTACTTGTACTTTATAGCTCTATGAATAATGCAGCTGTAAACATTCATGTATAGTTTTTTTGTGGGAATATGAGTTTTGGGTGTTAGCTTGGCTGAAGTACGTAAGTAAGGGCTTCAAGAACTCATTCTAAGCATACACAGTACTGCTGAGTTACATCCTAGTGTTAGAAGTATGGTGTTTGGTTTTTTGTTTTTTTTTTTTTTTTGTTTTGTTTTGTTTTTTTTTTTTTTTTTTTTCTCCTTGTTCTTTTTTTCCGGGGATGGTGGTGATTGTTTTGGCCTCTTGCATGCTGGTTGATCATTTTATCAAGTTGATCTAGAACTTAATATCCTCCTGCTTCACCTGGACAGTGGTGGCACATACCTCAGGAGGCAGAGGCAGGTAGGTCTCTGTGAATTCAAGGCTAGCCTGATCTACAGAGTGAGTTCCTGGACAGCCAGGGCTGTCTCAAGAAATCCTCCTGCCTTAACTTCCTAGGTAGTGTTACAAGTCTGACCCAGCTTTTTGTGTGTAAGTATCACTGGAAATTGAACCTGAAGACTCCATATACTGTGCTATCACTGTGCTACCAGACTACACCCTTGGTCCTTTAGTTTACCATTTTTCTTTTTAAATAGAAGGTTGATAAGTTGCCCAGGCTAGCCTTGAGCTTACAGCCCTTCTGCCTTATACTCCCTAATAGCTGTTATTGTATATTCCTGACTTTATACCGTCATTTTCATAATGGGAATGAGATAATCAAGTAATGCTTGATTTGCAAGACCCTAACATAGTAATGAGGGCAGTTATAGCACACTAGGCAGACATGCCAAATCTGGCTTGCCACCTGTTGTAATTGGCTTATAAATTTGGTAAAATTTTGAAACTAGGCAGAGTGGTGTACATTGATAATCCCAGTACTTGGAAAGCTGAGGCAGGGGTTTCATCATGAGTTTTACACTAGCCTGTTCTATATAGTGAATTCCAGGCCATTCAAGACTACTTGCTGAGACTATCTTGTTTGAGCCTGGGTCTCAGAACACTGCCCAGACTGGTGGCCCTTTTAGCATTTCAGGTTGTGGGGACCACAGCTGTGGATCACTACACCCAGTTGTCAATTGAATTTATTTTTGCGGGGGGGTCTTTCAAGATGGGGTTTCTCTGTGTCACCACCCTGGCTGTCCTGGAACTTGCTTTGTAGACCAGGCTGTCCATGAACTCAAGAGACCTTCCTCTGCCTCCTGAGTATTGGGAGTGCTGGGATTAAGGGCATGTGCTACTACCACCTGTTGTAAATTTTACTGATTTATTTAGCATTTTTCAGTAGCTTTGAGTTTAGTAGAGTTTAGTTTATGACAAAGTGACTTGGAAGACTTAGAAACAAGAAGATTAGGATTGGAGAGAAAAGCAAACTATGTGGTGTTTACTGTAAGTTTCTTAAGAATCTGTATAAGACTAGATGGCCTTGATGAGCTTTTATTGTTAATTCTACCCCAGGAGTCTGCAACAGTTCTTGTTTCTGTCCTTCATCTCTGTTCTCAGAACCACACCAGTGAGATCTCACTGAGACAAGTGAGTTGGAGGCAGTACTGAAAACTGAGTCACCAGCAGAGATGAGGTCTGAAGCAGGGCTGGAAACCCCACCCTGCCCGAAAATAGGCCTCTGTGTTTGGGAAGTAGCAGCTTTATATCTGATGATGAGAGGGAGCTACTGCCTTGTGGCTTCTGTTCTCTCTGTGAAATTGAAGGCAGAATCATTTGAAATTTGGGCCTGACAGAGAGATTGTAGGCTTAAGCATAGGGAAGAAGATTGAAGCTTTGCTAGAGGAAATAGGAAAGTTACTAGACAGTCTCAGAGCCTCTGGAATAGCTGGTGACTATGTCTTTATTTTAGGCATGGTTACTGTTGCATTTATTTGTTGGAATTATGTGGTAAAGAGTTTTATGTCTTATTTTTGTGGTTAATATTCTATTCTAACGGAAGTTCTAGGTGTAAAGCAGAAGTATTTGATAATGAGTACTTTACAGACAGGGCTGCTGTTGTTGAATTTTACTTTCTTTGATGAATTGCATTGCTTGTATAGTTCATCTTTACTTTGAGACAGCCACTTGTAGCCAACACTGACCTTGACTTCACTATATAACTTGAGGATAATCTTGTACTTCTGATCTTCGTCTATCCACATCCCTGTACTTGGATTCCAGTCATGTGCCACCACTCCCTAATGTATGTGGTGTTTGGGCTCAAACCCACAGCTCTGGGCATGCTGCTGAATGAGCTATCCCCAGCATTTTGAACATTGTAACCACTCTGAACTGTTGGTATTTATTTTGTGTGTGTGTGTGTGTGTGTGTGTGCGCGCGCGCGCGTGTTTTAATGACTTTAGTTTTATCTGACATTTTAATATTAAATAAATGTACTGAGTAGTTCTTGGGCACACTGTAGCATAGCTCTGTTAAATCCATCAAACCTTGCATGGCTCTCACTTTTACTTGTTCACATATAGTTTTAAATGGATATTGATGGGGACAAAGAGGTGTCTCAGGGATTAAGAGCAGATGCTACTCTGCTGGGAATTTTGTTCCCAGCATCCAGGTCAGGCAGCTCATAACTACTCATAACTATAGCTATAAGTAATTTGATACCTTTGCCCTCCATGCTCATTTGCACTTTAAAATAATTATTTGTTTTGTTTGTTTGTTTTGCATTTAGGCTACAACTTATTGCCATTACAGTTTATTCAATTAGATCAGAAGGTGTTTTAAATGTTCTATGGGTGAATAACCTATGATTCTGCTTCAGAGCAGTAGTCTTAGACTAGTTGAACAAATAATAATGTGAATAAATAATTAGGATACTGAGTAGTAAGTGCTGTTAAAAACATACATATAACAATATATAATAAACACAGGAAGTCATCCTTTATAAAAAAAATATAGAATTAAAACTTAAATAGAATGGATTTTAATTGAGCTTGAAAGATTTAAGATTTTGCCAGTAATATGGTAATCATATTAGTTAATATTTAGAGCTTACCTGTGCCACTCCTGCAATATTGTACATGTATAATATGTATACATGATATATACAAGTAATACTGTCAGATAGTTGTAGATGATTCAGGCATTTTGCAAGGATAGATAAAGACAGTAATAGAATACTTGCCTGGCTTACCCAATACCCAGACAACGATCAGCAAAAAAGTTCTAATGTTTCAGTGGAAAAAAAAAAAATAAAAAACAAAACAAAAACCAGGACAACATAACCCTTTGTGGAAAATATGCACAATTAGGGATGGATGGATGGATAGAAGATAGATAGATAGACAGACCTGAAACCATTTGCAATGATTGCCTGTGGCTATTAGGCTTATGGCTATTTTTCTTTGTTTTTTTTCATTTTCCCCGCTACAGTGTTCCTGTTACCTTAGTGACCTGAAATGCTTAGTGACTCTTATACTGATACATTTCTCACTTTATTTAAAAAAAAAAAAACCACACAACAAAACAAAAAACTGACTTTTTGGACTGTTTTATGAATCATTTCCATTTCATATTTTTGAGCCAGCCCTTGAGTTGGAATAAATTACTTGAACTGTATAAATATTTGCATTCCATCAAGAATACTGAAGCTAAATGTAGAAAGCAGAAGCCTGAGTCTATATTTTGACATCTAGAAATTGTGACTCACAATTTTTTTTCTTTATTGTCAGTTTTTTTAATCCAAATATCCAGTTACAAAAGACTTTAGATTGAAATTGAAATAAGTATTGTACTGTCTAAAAGATATATATTTTTTTTAAACCTAAAAACTTCTGTTCATGTAAACTTTTTTTCTGGTTTTAGAGGAATCGAAGGAAAATGAAAAGACAAAAGGTGATGAGCAGCCAGTCGATCCCATGAAACGTTCTGTGGCCAATATTCTGGAAGAGACAGCTGTGAAAACTGAAAAAGAAGATGAAAAGGAGCTCATGAAACTGCCTGTCATTGTAAAGCTCGAAAAACCTTTGCCAGAAAGTGAGGAAAAGAAAATTATCAGAGAGGAAAGTGACTCCTTCAAGGAAAACGTCAAACCCGTTAAAGTAGAAGCCAAGGAGTGCAGAATGGACTCCAAAGATCTCAAAGGCAGCTCAGAGAGGCTGGGTGCACAGGAGTCTGAGCGAGTAGAATTTGGTGGCAACATCACAGAGAAGTCTTCTGAGGAAACAGAGAAGCTTAAAAATGACCAGCAAGCCAAGATACCACTAAAAAAACGTGAAATTAAGCTGAGTGATGATTTTGACAGACCTTTGTGTAAGTCAGCTACTCCAACAAAAGAGTTTTTGAAAGATGAAATAAAACAAGAAGAAGAGACATGTAAACGGGTCTCCACCATCAGCACTTTGAGTCATGAAGGGAAACAGCTAGTGAATGGAGAAATTAGCGATGACAAGGCACCTCCACATTTTAAGGTGGAGCCAATGGAAACACAGCTTTGTGATGCAAAGGACAATGGCTCTCCCACCCCCTGTAAGGATGGAAATACAGTCACAGAGGGAAATGGCGCAGAGTGCTTAAACTCTGTCATAGCAGGTACAAAGATAAATGAGCCTGAGAGGGAAGTCTCTCTTGAGAAGGATATGGACAGCTCTGCATCTGCCTTGGAGAACCACTGTCAGAAAGGAGCATTAGAGGAGTCTGGGCTTCCAAATGTGGAGATGTCTCTTGAGCCTTCAGAGACAACAGCAGATCTCTCTTTAAAACCTGCTGTTTCTGCCACTGAACCCTGCACTGCAAAAGTCAAAGAGAAGGCACCCACAAGTAAGGAGGAGAACCAAGAACTAGGCATAGAATGCCTGGAAAAGATGGAGAATGCAAAAAAGACTGCTGTTGACAAGGAAAGATTGAGTCCAATACCTGAAGAAGTTGTAAGGAGTCCTCTAGAATCAGAAAAGCCAGGTCCTTGTGAAGTGGCTGAAACTTCCCTCCCACCCGAGATGACTGGCCCCACAGAGAAACTGGCCTCAGAGAAAAAAGGTATAGAATGTCTACATAGAATTTCAAGTGAAGGTCAGTCTGTTGAAAATGCAAATTCAGAAATTCTAAAAGAGGATTCTGTGTCCATGAAGGTGGACATGGCCAGTGTGGATAATGCCCAGGCCTCTGGCATGGAGGATCCTTCTGAGACAAAGGGCTCTGTGCAAAAGAACAAATTCAGATATAAGTTAATTACTGAAGGGGACAGCACTGCTTCAGAAAGCACAGAGATCACCTCTGAAAGGCAGAAGGAAGGCATCAAGTTAACAATTCGAATATCTAGTCGGAAGAAGAAGCCAGACTGTCCCCCACAAATTGTAGACTCTGAAAACAAAGAAGAAGAGAAAGTAAGCGTGGGACGCACTTTAAGAAGGTCTCCAAGAATATCTAGACCCACGGCGAAAGTAGCTGAGATCAGAGACCAAAAAGCTGATAAAAAAAGAGGAGAAGGAGAAGATGGCGTGGAAGAAGTGCCTGCAGCCTTGCAAAGAGCAGACAAGAAGGAGCACTTGAAAAAAACAGAGAAGGATACAAATTCTAAAGTGAGCAAGGTAAAGCTTCCACCGAGTTTTCAGAGTAGAAAATTTTAAATTATTTTGATAGCTTCTGTGTTTGACATGTGCATGGCTGGGTCAGAGAACAACTTGCCAGTATCTCTCCTTCCACCACATCCATCACAGGGTTCAAATTTAGGTCCTCAAGCTTGGCAGCAAGCTCCTTTACCCACTGAGCCATCTAACTGGACATTGAATTTTCAATTAAATGTTTTGGGTTTTTTTTGTGTGTTATTTTGTATGTGTGATATATGTATGTGTTCATGTGGGTGAGTGTGCGTGCATGTGTGTGGCTTCCTCCATTTCTCTCCCCCTTTGTGAGACAGCTGGAAGCTCAAGGGTTCAAGTAGCTTCTAGATGGTGAACTTCAACAGTCCACCTGTCTCCATTTCCAACCCCGAGGGTTACATACAGTTGCATACTACCATAGATGGTTTTTTTTATGTGGGTTCTGGGCACTCAAATCCAGGTCTTTGTACTTGTATGACAGACATTTTACTGAGCCATCTCGAAAGCCTTATGTTCTCAACTCTAATTAGAAAACTAATTTGGATCTAATTGTTCATAGCCTTGTCATTCAAAGATAGCTAATACTAAACCTTACCTTTCAATAATTACAACCACACACTAAATTTCATACCATATGCTATCTTTTAGACTTCTTTTTCTATTGTAAGCAGTACTAGGGATAGATTCTATAAGGTATTCAGCTAATAATAAGCCTATAGAGTGCCAAAACAAAACTCCCCATATAGCCACTATTAACAGTTTGGGGGATACATTGTTTCATTCCATTTTCTAAGCATTCATGTCTTTGTTAATGAACATTTGTTCATAAAATTTTCAAAATAATCGAATCACACCTATTTGTTTTGATATGAGTTTTTCACTTAACAATGATGTCTCTATTCTTATGTCAGGAGTTACAGTCTACTTTTTTTAATTAGTGGCCACATAGTATTTCATAGTGTGGATAAACCTCAGTTTATTTAATTACTCCCTGATTAATTGACATTTAGGTTGTTTCCCATTTTTCACTATTACAGGCAATGCTGCATTGAAGATCCTTTTGGACATAAGTGAGTATTTCTTTAGAATAGACTCCTAGAATTGGAATTACTGGGTCAAGGGGCATGTGTGTTATAAAATTGATAGTTATTGTCACATTGCCCTCCAAAAGCCCTTCCAGGTACCACCACCCCATTACCAGTTTACCATTTTCCCCATTTTAATCCTTACTTTTATAAGCAGGAAATTTCTTTTCTATGACCTTCTTTATTTTAGGCAGTCTTTAGTCCATGGGAGTTTGCTGTTAAAACTGCTACTTTTTTTTTTTTTTTTTTTTTTTTCATTTAAATGGTCAGGTCATTCTTTGCTCCCTGATATTTGGAATTTTTAATTCTTTTGAAAACCCTTTTTCTTTTGTTTAGACTTATTTTCTTCTTTCCTAGAGGCCTGTAACATAGCAATAAAGTGAAATAGAAGTTAAAAGACTGAAACTAGGTGATAAAAATAGTGTATCATAATCAGCTTATTCTATGAATCTTAATATTTTCAAAGTTTATTAGAACTTTTATATTCAGCTCTGGCCTGCTTTAAAAAGTTTGATTTTTGGGGCTAGAGAGATGGCTCAGTGGTTAAGAACACTAGCTGGCCTTCCAGAGGTCCTGATTTCAATTCCTAGCAACCACATGGTGGCTCACAACCATCTGTAAAGAGATCTGGTGCCCCTTTCTGGCCTGCAGGGATATATGCAGACATTTAAAAAAAAAAAATACTGTATAAATAATAAATAAATGTTTTAAAAATTGTTTGTAATTTAGAGGGTTTGTTTTGTTTTGTTTTTGTGGTTCTTTTGAGACAGGGTTTCTCTGTGTAACAAGCTTGGCTGTCTTGTCAGTCAGGCAGCTATCACAGAGATTCTCCTGCCTCTGCCTCCCAAGTGCTAGAATTAAAGGAGTGTGATACCATGTCCAGCCTTTAGAGTTTAAATTTTTGGAAAAAAAAAAAAAAAAAAAAAAAAGTGTGTCAGTATATCTTTCTGCTATTGATAGAGCCTTTAAATGTCCATGGCCTTTGACCCAGAATCCTGTTCAAGGAATTTATCCTAACCACAAAGATGGATGTAAACAGTAACATGTATGAGGGTACATCATGAAAGTGAAAAAATGGGAAACAACCACCCAAATATGAATAAGATCATATAGCTATTTTTGGTAGTCATTGTATAATCCCAATTTTTAGCCTCCCCTCAAATACAGAAGACAATAATGAATACACATACCAAAACTTAGTAGTAGATAGACCTGGTGACAAGATTATAACAATTTTCTTTTTCCCCCCCTGTGTCAGCTAAATGTTCTCCACGAGACATGTAATTGGAGAAACCTGAAAAAAAACTTAAGTCCAATTGTCTCATCTTTTAATTTACATAAGGTAAAACCCAAAGGCAAAGCTCGATGGACCGGTTCTAGGACTCGTGGCAGGTGGAAATACTCCAGCAATGATGAGAGCGAAGGGTCTGAAAGTGGGAAGTCCTCCGCAGCCTCAGAAGAGGAAGGGGGAAAAGAAAGTGAAGAAGCCGTCCTTCCAGACGATGATGAGCCATGCAAAAAATGTGGCCTTCCAAACCATCCAGAACTAGTAAGTGTTCCTCTCATTATACTGCCGTTATTTGCAGTGACCTACTACTACTAGGTTTGATCGTGATTTGAATTTTGTGTTTTTGAAACAAGATCTCACTGTTAGTCCTGGCTGGCCTGGATCTCATTAAGTTGGCAGTTAAGATTAACACTTGTCTTACTTACATTCTTGTTACTATGGTAAAGCACCATGGCACTATGGTTCCAGAGGGTTAGAATTAATGATGCAGAGTAAGAGAACATGCAGATAGGTGGCTGGAGCAGTAGCTGAGAGTTCAATCCTATCTTGATCCCTAAGCAGGCAGAGAGCACACTGGAGATGGCTTGAGTCTTTTGAAACCTTACTTTTCTTGAGTAAGTCCATACTTCCTAATCCTCCCCAAACAGCTGCCAACTGGGGACCAAGTAGTCACATGATTGAGATGGGGGAGGGGCCATGTACTTCAAACCACCACAGCTACCATAATCAAGGCTATGAAAGTTAAAGTTTTAGTGTTGAGGATGTTTGAATATTTGATCTGTTTTTGAAGACCTCTTTTCTGCCCTCTAACTCAGCAAGGCTTATATTTGCCATACCATTTCCCAATTCATTCATTCATTTATTTATTTGCGAAGTGGCTTTAAAAAGTAAAGAAACTCTGGGGACAAAACAAATGTGAGGAAATAGTGTATTGAGCAAAAGTGACAGCAGGGAGATCCACAGGGTTTTTAGCTTGTTATATAGGTAGTTGGGAAATCCCAAAGAGAATGATGTTGGAAACTGAAGTTCTACAGTCTGGTGGGTTTCTTATGCCCTGGATTTGAAGATAATCCGAGATCAGTATTAGAAGCAACACCTGGACTGTGGTGGGTGCCTTTAATCCCAGTACTCAGGAGGCAGAGACAGGCAGATCTCTGAGTTTAAGGCCAGCTTAGTCTGCAAAAGAAGTTTCAGGACTGTTATACAGAGAAACCCTGTATCAGAAAAAAAAGTAACAATAACAAAACTTGAAGAAATAATAAACCACTATTGTATTAGAAAAGCCTCTTGTTCTTGGTGAACAGAAAAGCAATAAATTCAGGAATTCTAGAACCCTGCCTCAAAAAACCTAAAAGAAAAAAAAAAAAAAAAGAACACTTAGTGCTCCTTCTACAGGACCTGGGTTCGGCTTCCAGCACCCACATGGCAACTCATAATTGTCTAACTTTAGTTCTAGGGGATTTAGTGCCCTCTTCTGACCTTCACTGTCACTCCATACAAATGCATATAGATGCCCTCAGACACAGGCATACATGTTGATACACATTGAATAAATAAATATTTCTTTTTTGTTTTTAAAGAAGAATGGCTCCCATGGCTCATTATTTGAATGTTTAGTTACCCGATGGTGGGACTATTTGAAGGATGTAAGGATTAGGGGGTGTGGCCTTATTAGATTAGGTGTGCTCTTGTTGGAGGAAGTATGTCACTGTGGGTGTGCTTTGAGGTCGAAGATCAGCATAGAGAACTCTCAGCTACTTCAGCCCTGTGTCTGCTTGTGTCCTGCTGTGCTCTCTGCCATGGTGATAATAAACTAGTAATGTCTGAAACTATAAGCAAGCCCCCTAATAAATGCTCTCTTTCATAAATTACCTTGGTTGTGGTGTCTCTTCACAGCAATAGGACATTGACTAAGGACACCTTGATGAGACAGAGCTAGAGGACATTCTCTCAAACATGGATCCCCAGTGTAATCATTTGGAAACATAAACCCAAATTCAGAGAGTTGCTTATACAATGTTTGATTTCTAGTATTCTACAAATTTTCAAAGTCACAGGGGGGAAAAAAAAAATCTAAACATCAGTTAGTACCAGAGAATGAGAGTAGGAAAACATACCAAATACAGTATAGTCTAATAGCCTTGGATTCATAATCAGGGAAATGACATTCCTGTTGGAAAAAGGTCTTATGAAAGTTACTGTATTGATGTTAAGTTTTTAGTTTTGGCAGAGATGAGTGAGATGCTAGCACATACCTGTAAACTTAGATCTGTGGGGCTGTAGCAGGTGGATTGAAACTTGAAGGCCAGTTACATAGGCAAAAACAATTTGTAGCTTTGGGAAAAGTTGAAGAAAAACATGAGGATACATTTTTGTAATTCATCTATACATCTAAAAATAGTTCCAACTAAATACTTTCTTAGTTAAATGATTAGCAATAAACTATGGGAAGTTAAAATGACTGGTTATCTGGAATTCATGGCAGTAAAATATAAGGTAAAACTAGTTGATGGTGTTGTTAGTGTTTGAGCAGCATTGCTCTGACCCTTCTAGCCTGTGTCAGTTCCTTCCTTATCTGAATTTACAGAAGAAAAAAACTATTTCTTATGTAAAGGTAATTGAAATACAATTAAGATGGAAATGCTTTATAATTCTCTGTATGCTAGCATATTTTATGATACTGGAACTTTGAAATTCTGTTATAAATAAGATTATCCTCTTGGCAGATTAAAAATTGATTCTAGTTCAGAAAGGACTTACCGAATTTCACTAATTCTGTACCATAATATTTTCTTAGGTTGTCAGAAGGAGTGCTTTTTAATGTTTAAAATTCTTTTTGTTTTTGTGAGACAGGATTTCTCTGTGTGGCCCTGGCTGTCCTAGAAGTTGCTTTGTAGTTCAGGCTGGCCTCTGCCTCCCTAGTGCTGGGATTAAAGGTGCCACCACCACTCAGCTCAATTTAAAGTTTTTTTTTCCATCCCTAATTGTCAGATCAGTTTCATTTGTTGACTTTATACAAGCACAATGCTGTCCATGTTAGTGTACTAAGAAGTACTGAAATGTCAGTCTTTCCCAAGTATGGTGTCATATACCTGTACAAACTCAGCACTGCAGAGGCTGAGACAGGAATATTGCTGAGAGCTTGAGGCTGTGTATCGAGCAGCAGCCTAACCTGCACTGTTAGTATAGCAAGCCATTGTCTCAAAAAAGAAAGGAATATCATTATTTTAACAAAATGCAGATTGGTTGATACTGATGTGGTTTATTTCAGATTCTTCTGTGCGATTCTTGTGACAGTGGGTACCATACAGCCTGTCTTCGCCCTCCTTTGATGATCATCCCTGATGGAGAATGGTTCTGCCCTCCTTGCCAACATGTATGACCCAACCTAATTCTCTCTCCAGCCCTCAGTTTTATATTGAAATCATTAATAATACTTTTTAGCTATCATTAAACACCTTCCCTTTTCAAAGCAGTTGTTAATAGTGAGTGTTTGCCTTTTGTTTGGGTCTCTACCTGCTATTAGTATCTTAGGCTTGCCTTTTGTCTTCTATAAAACTTTGGGCTTTTGTAAAAACATCTGTTTTCTATTCAAATTTGTAATAAATATAAATAGCACCGTGTGTGTGTGTGTGTGTGTGTGTGTGTGTGTGTGTGTGTGTGTGTAATAAATGTTTCTGTAGTTTATTCCATTTTTCATTACTATATCCCCTTTAGTTGCTAGCACTAAAAGAAACCTTAGTTTGTTCTGTATTAATTCACAGAGTGTCTAGTAAACCAAAGAACAGTAGATTTCTGTTTACTACACCACTTGGATACTTTGTTTCCAATTGCTTATTCTGCTTTCAACAAACTGGCTTTATGCCTTTTTCTTTTGAAGTTACCTTCTCACTTTGCATAACTTGATCTATGATATTTTTTATGTTCTGTTTTGATCCAGTAATAATCATGTAGCATTGTTTTGTATGTATTTTTATATTAGCATTATACTTTGTCATATGTATGTATGTATGTGCAAATATATATATAATTCTTTAAAAGTATTTAGATAGCCTTTAATGTTTAATATAACATTGTTTTGAATAGTAATGAACAAAATGCAATTCTGAGTAATTAAAGGCCGAGTAAGCACAGAACATTTCTTTTTGTTTTGGTTTTTGCAAATCTATGTTTGTTTGTCACACTTATAGACGTGCTATGCTCATCATCCGTTAAGTGGATCCTGACCTCCTTTTTAAACAAAGCATTTTCAATATTCACCATACAATCATTTTCAGTTCATAAGGCTTATTATTAAAGCTTAATAATAAGCATGTGGTATTTGGTTGTGTTTTGGTATTAAAATTAACATACATATATTCTTCCTTCAGAAACTACTGTGTGAAAAATTAGAAGAACAGTTACAAGATCTGGATGTTGCCTTAAAGAAGAAAGAGCGTGCAGAGCGAAGGTAAATTGATATATGTGCTGATGCTTTTCTTAGGAATTTGGCATTAAAATTGTCTTGCAATTTAAATGAACACATCCATCTAAATCAAAGACTGGCAAGCTACAGGCAAGTCAAACCTGATCTTCTGCTGCTTTCTACATTGCCTTCTAAGAATGGCTTTTATGTTTTAAAACCATTACTATAAAATCATTTCATGATGTAGGGAAACTACGTGGTAGTCACTGTCATATCCCATAAAAAAGAACATAGTTTTACTCGTTTGTTTGTGTGCTAACTACGGCTGTTTTTGCACTACAACAGTGGAATTGAGTAGCTCAGTAGAGCTCCAGTAACTTTCCAAACTCGAAATACTATGTGTTGTTTTACATACAAGTTTGCCAAACCCCTTTGTAGAGTATCAGAGTCTCCTATGGAAAAACATTGCTGAACTGTGTTCTACTGACAGTAAAATATACTGTTTTCATTATGTTACTGCAGTGTAGTCTAAAACAGTAGTTGAATTATCTTCTTGGAGCAACTAAGATTGACCTTGATTCTAGTATTTATTAATAGGGAATTCAGAATGAGTTTATATTTATTTGTACTTTCTTTGGTCATTCCATTTGTAAACATTTATTCAGATCCATGGCATAATTAATTGAATAGAACAAATGAATCTTGTTTACATTGAACATTCTTTCTACCAGAGAAAACGGAGACTCAATGATACGAGATTCAGACAGAGATTCAGTACAATACTAGAACATAAAGGAAGATCATTTTCATTCTTCTTGAAATTGAATATCAAGGAAGGCCTTGGAAGATAAATTGGGTTTATACAGGTGGACATAGAGAGAAGAGACATTTCTAGTGGGTGTGTCCAAGCATAATGAGCAAAGGCAGAGTGTAAAAGTGAAGGTATGGAATGGATCTTGTTAAAGCAGAGGAAGCCCAGACTGGAAACAGCTTTGCATAGCTGGCTAGGGAATTCCAAATGTTCTCTGTAGGTAGTAGTGGAGTCATCAAAGTAGGAATATGTTCTTCATTTCAGAAAATATGGCCTCTTAAGTGAGAGGAATGAGTAAGAATTGGAGTATTATAAGGAAGACTGGAAGTAGGGCTGCCATTGTCACGGTCGGCTCGAGGTGGTGGCTCCATGCAGTCTCTGAAATGACCTCATACTTCAAGAGCATCTATATCCTAATCCCATTGTTTTCTTCTTTTGTATTCAGCATTTAACCAACTTTTATTGAATACTTCTTTTATACCAGGTAGTATATTCAATGAGAAAGCATATACTGTTTCACCCTTACATGGTTGTACAGTCTGGAAAAAAAGAGGGTTGTGACAATGAGTTTTTAGTGACTACTCAGGAAATGTCTACAGCTCTGGTGTTGTGTGGCTCTATAGAATCTGTAGTTTTAGAAATCTCTATTTTGTGGTTTATAAATGTTCTTTCCAGAGTATGATGTCAGAGACAATAAGGGGAATCAGAAAGCTCTGTTTTTCCAGACTACAATTACTAGTGCTTTTCCTAGTGGGGAGTTGGATTTAATTGGGGTTGGAATTTTCCGGGTAATATAACTGGGAAGGAGAAAAAGAGACCAGGGGTTTGAAAGTGTATGCAAAACAGCATTTATAATGACGAACTGTGGCGTCTCAGTCAGCTAAAAGGGACAGTGATAGATAGTGCTTAGTGGGGGCTAGGGTAAGTTGAAGTTCTACTAGAGTCAACAAATTATTGAAATTAGCACATAAGGTAGAGTAAGTTAGCAGTTGAATTATTGGAAGTTGGACAATAGGATGTGTAAAACTGAAATTGTAGAGAGAGTAGGGTTCTTGGTAATGATTAGGTCTACAGATCTTGGGTAGTGAGATAAAGTAAAAGGCATCCTGGCAAAAGATAACTAACCTGAATCATATGAAGAATTATGTCTACCTTCAAGATCCTGCACAACAGTGAATTCTTAAAATCATTTCTCTGGTTAGATGAGATTAATATCTGCTCGTGTTTCCAGTACAGTTGTCAAAATGGTCTGTAGTCATTTGATAACTAATTGTCAGGGCAGAAACCTTGTCTTTCACTCTCCAAGCTTGGCATAAGTCCACCCAAGAACATGAGCAAACATCTCTCCTGTTGAATTGAGAAGAGAAACGGCAGGCAAAGAAAGCAGTTCAGAGTTTTAAAGGAGAAAAGTGGTATTACAGTGAATGTTTTTGTAAGAACAGATGTATATCACATACTTAATAACAGAGACAGTTTGAACTGTGAACTATTCCGATTATTCTTGTCCTTATTAGCTACTTGATATCTTTCAAAGTTTTAATGAAGTGATTTTATCATTTTCATAAATGTAATAGCTTCTCCATCTGTTCCTGAGATTCTTGTTAGCAGGGTCAAGAGTTTATCGCACATTAAAAGTTACGTTCCAAAAGGTCTAGACAAGTAAATGTATTCATTTCCTTTCAGAAGGAATATTACAATGCTCTTCTAGTTTAGTTTAATGTACTCTAATGATCAAAGCTCAGCTGTCCTCAAAATAATACTGGATTATCATAGAGTTGACCAGAGCAAGCACCTGCTGTATAGAGTTGTTTGTTATTGTTTTTGAATTAAAATAAACTGGGCTTTTGTTCATTTGTTTTTTCCCATGGGAATGGGATCCATGGAGGTGTTGTTAGGGATACATACACACCCTTGTTTTCTGGCTCCACCACTATCTTCATTTGTATTGTTGAACGCATAGCCATGTGTCTTTTCCACAGCAAGGCATGAGTGGCTTTAATTCATTTAATCCAGTCATTCATTGGAGCCTTAATACAGTTTTGTTATGTATCGTTTGTTAGTCATTATTTTATAGTGATGTTTATTACCATAGGCTTTCCCCTCCCCCCCCTTCAAGATAGGGTTTCTTTATGTAGCCTTGGTTGTCTGGGAACTGTTCTGCAAGGACTAGGCAGTCCTCGAGCTTACAGAGATCCTTCTGCCTCTGTCTACCAAGTGCTGGAATTAAAGGTGTGCACCACCACTGCTCAGCTATTACAATAGACTTATAATTGTGTATTATACTCAGAACGCTACCTAATAAATACATCTAATATGCAAAGATCTAGTTTGTCTCATCAGAGTTAGCTTTCCAAATCTAACCATATTGTCAGTTCACAGTTTGAAGTTTGTTTATTTCAGTTCAAAAGTATAGCTTTCATACAGGTAAACAAGTTTGTGGTTTTCATTAATACTAATACTCTACTAAAATTTCCCTTTAATATTTGTGACAGCCTTTTAATTACCATGACATTGTAATTTTATTATTATCTACAATGATTTTCATATCAATTTCATTTTAAGCAAATCTTATTTTATGCCTTTTTTTGTTTTTGTTTTTGTTTTCTGGTGTTAAGGAAAGAACGCTTGGTTTATGTTGGTATCAGTATTGAAAACATCATTCCTCCACAAGTAAGTTTCTAGTTTATAGCATTTTTAAACATTTTTTATGTGTGAGTGTTTTGCCTATGTGTATAGTCTGGGAACCTTGTGTATGCCTAGAGCCTACAGAGGTCAGAAGAGGATGCCAGGTCCCATGGAACTGGAGTTACAGATGGTTGTGAGCCACTCTGTGGGTGCTGGGAATCGAACCTGAGTTCTTTGTACAGCAGCCAGAGTTTTTCACCACTGAGCCATTTTCAGTCCAGATTTATATAGTATTTTTAGAGGAAATGCTATATGCTTTCTAAAATGTAACCCAATTGTATGTCACTTTAGTATTTTACATACCTATGCTGTTAGAGCTAGACATTTTAGTCACTCAAATAACTGTGATTATCGTATTCAAACTAAACTTATAGCTTATTGCTTTGGGGTAATTAATGTTCTACTGTTTTGTAGATGGGACAATTTGTGATTCACTTTATAAATGTGCCATTTGTATAAAATAACTAAAGAATAGCTTGGGAATATTTTACTTTTAATTTGGTACCACTGAAACTTTAATTTCTATTATAATTTAGTTTCTTTGAACTACCATTATTTACATTTATTAGTCTATAATTAAGCATACCTCATGAGTGAATGTATATGAAACATAGTATCAACTTGGTTTTGTTGTGGTTTTATTATGGATGTTGATTTTAGATAGGGTATGTAACCCTTGCTGTCCTGGAACTCAGAGATACACTGCCTCTTTCTCTTAAATGCTGGTTTTGAAGGCTGGGATTAGAGGTGTGAGCCACAACATTCAGTAGTGTCCAAGTGAAGATTTACTATTTCATAATTAAATCACAGCCTTAAGTAGCTTGCCAAGTTGTTACTCAGATTAAATCAAATCCTCTCATGATTTCAGCATATATATCTATTCAAAGTTTTTTGTGTATCATATTTAATTGATTTAAAGATTAAATTGCCATTGGTGGGGGTACACCTTTAATTCTCCAGCACTTGGGAGGCAGCAGCAGGAGGATCTCTGTGAGTTTAAGGCCAGCCTGGGCTACAGAGTGAGTTCCAGATAGATAGATAGATAGATAGATAGATAGATAGATAGATAGATAGAGTGAGTTCCAGAACAGCCACAGGCTACACAGAGAAACCCTGTCTTAAGTAAATACATAATTAGATAGATAGATAGACAGACAGACAGAAAGAAATAAAAAAGATTGAACTGGTAGAAAAACTTCATCCTGGTTATTTTAATAATAGACTATTATAAACTCACAGAAGTTTAAGAATTTCAACACAAATAGTTCATCTGTTTGACTACCAATTTGTATAATTAGTTTTGCCATCTATAGTCATTGTGGTGGATAATCTCAGTTTCTCAGGCCTTTCATGTGTGCTGTGTAGGTAGAATATTAAAGTTGTTAATTCCAAGGAATGTTTCTGTGTCACACCTGTATATGTTATCTTTAAAGGAGCCAGATTTTTCTGAAGATCAAGAAGAAAAGAAAAAGGATACAAAGAAATCCAAAGCAAATTTACTTGAAAGGAGATCAACAAGAACAAGGAAATGCATAAGTTACAGGTATAAGATAAAAGACAGTTGTTATAGTAAAAGAACTTACTCCCCCCCCCCCCCCCAGTTAGACAAAACACAGAAGTGGGTAGTACTGTCAAAACAGTGATTTGTAACGGGTCATGTATGTCACCTGGTATCTTTGGGTGTTAGGTTCTATGACCTCAAGGCCAGGTTTTAGTCACTAGTAGAGCACTTCCCTAGCATGAGCAAGGTCATATGTCCAGTCCACACCACATACATTCCTATGCATGCACAAATACATACATAGGATTTGCCGCAGAAATTATTTGTACAGTTAGCTTAGCTAAGTTAGTTCATTTTATGGTCACTTGAGCCCTAAACTAAGCTGCCATGTACTTATAAAGCAACCTTAGAAATCATTTCTTTTTGTTCCTTTTCTTTAAACCAGAAGAAATAGTCCTTTAAGCAAAAGTACATTCATCTAATTTTAAATTTTGATATGAGTTTCTATAACATATATTTTCAGTAGCAACAATAATTGGCCTTAATACTTACTATGGAGCAGTAATTTTGTCCAAATCACTTTGCCATGCCACTTAAATGATTAGAGGCCAGTCTTCAGGCCACAGCTAGCTAACTGCTAGGTTTTGCATAGTGTTTATCCCAAGAATGTCTTTTACATATATAAATGATTGAAAAAGCATTTTATGAGATCCATACGTAACTGAAGTTTTAGTGTTTGGGAAATTTTTGTTACACAGCCATCTATAACTACTTAAGATATGATTTACACTTTCTTTTACATTACAGTAGCACAGTTGATAAAGATTTTATAATCAAAAAAGCCTACAGTTTACCTTCTGATTCTTTAAAGTTTTTACTTGTTTATTCATTGATTGTCTAGAGTATATATGTGAGTGGTAGGATACTGACTTCACATATGCTGATACTGTCTTAATCTATTCAAGACCATCAACTGGATAGCTTTCAGATAGCATAAATTAATTCACAGTTCCAAAGGCTTTCTAAGTCTAAGATGAAAGTGCTGACAGATTTGGGAATTGGTGAAGACCTGTTAATGACTTTCCCATGGTACCTTCTCTGGGTTCACATGGTAGCAGTTCTCGAGGGCAGATCTAGTGTCTGTTGAGGGCCTGCTTGTTTATGTATATGGCCATCAGCTCGCTTTAATTTCACATGGTGCAAGAGGCCAAGGGATTCATGTTTTGTGTTTTTTTTTTTTTCTCCTTTTTAATGAGGACATTAGTCATATTCATGAGTGCCCATGTCCTGAAACCATCACATGTGAGTTGGGGTGGGATAAATCAGATTCCTGCAGTCACTTTGTATAGGTGGTCTTTGGAAATCAAACACTAATACAGCTCACAGTCTGATCACTGTACTTATTTTAGATTTGATGAGTTTGATGAAGCAATTGACGAAGCTATAGAAGATGATATCAAGGAGGCTGATGGAGGAGGTATGTTTATCATTTATTCTTTTTCATAAAAGATTATTTCTCTCCCAAGTGCTAACTGAATAAACTAGCTCATATTCAGATAATCTGCTGACATGGGCCAGGGTATTATGTCAGAACTTATTACTAATTTTTCTATGATCTAATACAGAATTTTTTAATTCCTTCATTGATCAAAAATTTTATATTTGGTTCTAATTAGAACACTCAGGAAACTTTCCTATTGTTTTTGCAACAAAGTCTCAAAATGTGTGGATAATCTGAATTTGAATGGCAGACAGTGTAATATCTGTTACATATCAATTTATTCATTTAATTGCCTTCTCTTTCTTTTTCCTGTTTTTTGTTTTGTTTGAGACAGCGTCTCTCTCTCTGTAGTCCTGGTTGTCCTGGAACTCACTTGCTCTGTAGACTAGACTGGCCTTTGTGACCCATCAGAACTCTTTGAGTTTTTTTCTTTAAAAGATAGGTCTTGGGCTGGAGAGATGGCTCAGGAGTTAAGAGCACTGACTGCTCTTCCAGAGGTCCTGAGTTCAGTTACCCGCAACCACATGGTGGGTCACAACCACCTGTAATGAGGTCTGGTGCCCTCTTCTGGTATGCAGACAGAACACTGTATATATAATAAATTTAAAAAAAAAAAAAATGGGTCTTGGCAGGCACCGGTGGCACACACTTTTAATCCCAGCACTCAAGAGGTAGAGGCAGCCTGGTCTACAGAGTCAGTTTCAGGACAGGCAGGCCTACATAGAGAAGCCCTATCTCAAAAACAAAACAAAACAAAACGATAAATGAATAAAATAAAAGATGGGTCTGGAGAGATGGCTGAGCAGTTATGAAAACTTGCTGCTCTTCCAGAGGACCAGAATTTGGTTCCCAACCTCCATGGTGGATAGCTTACAACTGCCAATAACTGCCTATAACTCTTCTTAAAAGATATTTGCTTTCTGGCCCCAGACAGCACTCACACAAATGTTGTATTCACTTACAAAAGCATACACACAAACCAGGCAATGGTGGTGCATGCCTTTAATCCCAGCACTTAAGGGGCTGAGGCAGTGTATCTCAGTGAGGTTGAGGCCAGCCTGGTCTACAAAATGAGTTCCAGGACAGCTAAGACTGTTACACAGAGAAATTCTGCCTCAATGAATGAATGGATAGATGGGTGGATGGGTGGGTGGGTGGATAGATGACAGCTTATATACACACACATGAATTTTATTAAAATTTTAAAATCCATGAGAACTGAGTGCTGGTAAGCTCTCTTAGTGCATAGAGGCAACATTTGCTCACAACCCCAACAATCTGAGTTAGATATCTCTTGAACCTTACCAAGTGGCAGGAGAACTGATTCTTGAAAGTTGTCCTCTGATCTCTATAACTGTGTGCCTTGGAATGTATGAACACACATACACCATAAAGAAAGAAAAGAGAGTGGGAGGGATGGAGGAAGGAAAGAGTGAGTGAGTATAAAGGGTAAAAGCACTTAACTATTCTTACAGAGTACCCAGGTTTAGTTCCCAGTACCTACTTCATAGCTCACAACCACACTAACTAAAGTTCTTGGCAATTCAAATCCCTCTTCTAACCTTAGGTACCAGACATGCGTGTACTACACATAATATATGTAGGGAAAACACTTATATACATACAATAAAGAGTGTTAAGCTATGTATGGTGATACAAATCTATAAATCGGGGGAAAAGGCACAAGGATCACAAATTCAAGGCCAACCTGGGCTGCACTGTGAACTTATATTCAGTACATTAGGCATGTTATTTCTTTGTTTAGATCATTGTTAGCTGATGTTGTAAGCAACCTGCATATTTCTAACAAAAATTAAGCAAAGAAAGAGCTGCTGCTCTCACAAGTATGGGGAAGGTTCAGTAAACATACAGTTATCTCTTCCTCTCAGGAGTTGGCCGAGGGAAAGATATATCCACCATCACAGGTCACCGTGGAAAAGACATCTCTACTATTTTGGATGAAGAACGAAAGGAAAATAAAAGGCCTCAGAGGGCAGCTGCTGCTCGCAGGAAGAAACGCCGGCGACTTAATGATCTTGATAGTGATAGCAACTTAGATGAGGAAGAGAGTGAGGATGAATTCAAGATCAGTGATGGGTATGTGGCCTGCCTCCAGCCCCATGCTTTAGGTGCCAGCTTACACAGAGCCAGGTCCTGAGAGAGTCTTGGCTGGACTACATTATGGCTTTTATTCTTCGTGTACATGGGCAGTCTGTATCTTCAGGATATTTAAAGCAAATCTGAGATTACTTATTTTGATTCATTTTAGATTAAAATTAAAGCTACGTTTATAGTGGTTTAATATTTAAAATTATATTTAAAGTTCATTAACTATAATTGAAGTTTTATTTATTGAAATCTTTATACTACCTTTTGCTACCTAGTTCATTAGTGGACCTTAATTAAGTGTGATAAATTATAAAAGAGGAAGTAATTCCTGTCTTCTGATGCTCTGTAGAGGTTTGGTAAGGGGTAACTAACCCAAATATTAGGATTAGAACAGCTTCTATGCAAATCAAGTGTAAACCGCTACAGAGTTTCTCCTTTTAGCTCAATAGTACATATATTAGGAAGTATATAAAACACAGAAAAGTTACTCAGCACTGCCTGCCTCAGTAATGTAGTTAAATAAAGTTAGGACGCAGAAGGTACTTGTGTTCATCTAAGGTAGTCAGGGAAACCTCGAAGAAGGAACGTTAGGATCAACATGTAAGAATGAGTATTTTGAACTGCTGTATGAGTTTAGAAGCAGGGTGAGAAAAGAAAGCAACTCAAACAAAAAAGCCACGTATTCAAATGTCAAAGAATAGTTAGGAAATTCCCTGAAAGGGAGAATGTGGGGATGATGGGGCTGGAGAGATGATTCAGAGGTTAAGAGCACAGGCTACTCTTCTAGAGGTCCTGAGTTCAATTCCCAGCACTCACATGGTGGTTCACAACCATCTGTAATGATATCTGGTGCCCTCTTCTGGAGAGCAGGGATACCTGCATGCAGAACACTGTTTATGTAATAAATAAATAAATCTTTAAAAAGGAAAAAAAAAAAGAAAAAAGAGTATGGGGATGAAATAGAGAATGCTCTGGTAGAGCTGCAACCAGAACATAAAAAGGAACAAATTATGGAGTGGGTTTTTCTATTTCTCTTTTGTCATACAAATTTGAACTTGTCCTGAAAATATTTTTTTAAGAATGCCCAAAGTGTTGAGGTATGAGGTGAAAGGTGAAGTCAAGATACATACTCATGTCTGGATTGGTTTGTTGGTAGTTGAATGATTCTCAATAACAGATAGCAGTTACAGGTGTTTGCCACACAAACATGGCAACCTTATTTCAATCTTTAGAAGCCATGTAAAGGCGGAACCAACTAACTCCACATGCTTTCATCCACATGCAGGTACAAGTACCCCATCCCTCTCCGTAAGGAGAAGCCAAATTGTTTGTGTTAAAAATGTATCAGGCTGGCAGATAGAAGAGGGGGTTTGGGAAATAATGAACACTTTTGAATATGTTGGATTTAAGATGCATCCCAAAGAGGTTCATTTATAAAATTCAGCATCAGCATTATTTTCACGACTTTTACAAAGAGAAGGATAGGTGATAGGATATTCGTTTTGTAGACAGAAGTTGACATAATTTTCCAAATGTGTCTTTAAAATTACTTAACACTTCACTGGATTCATTACAGTTTGTGTTTGGAACTATGAAAAACTGGTTATCACTTACAACTGTACCATTACAAAACAAGCACTGAGGGCATCATCACAACCTATCTGGCTTTTCTTGCACAGATCTCAAGATGAGTTTGTTGTGTCTGATGAAAACCCAGATGAAAGTGAAGAAGATCCACCATCTAATGAGGACAGTGACACGGACTTCTGTAGCCGAAGACTCAGGCGGCATCCTTCTAGGCCAATGAGACAAAGCAGGCGTTTGCGGAGAAAGACCCCAAAGAAAAAGTACTCTGATGATGATGAAGAGGAAGAAGAAGAAGAAGAATCCGAGGAGAATAGTAGAGACTCAGGTAAAAATGCCTTCTTTCTGTATCAGAACAACTCAGTTGCTTCCTGTGGCTTCTGGATTATACTCAGCTGTTAATATAGGCATCCTGATGAGACTCTGGAGTCCTTTTCTTATGACTTTTCCTAGTCACCTTTTTCACACACAGCAGCACATCTGAGAAAATTCATATAAATTAATGTGCTACCTTCATGCCAACTCTTGGAGAATGTTAAATTATGATAAGTCCTTTGGGTGCCAAGTATTTCTGAGAATATTTTGAGATGTTGTAGCAAGAATACCAGAACCAGTTAACCCCATGCACACCAGGGCTTCTTAAACTTTCTGCTCACAACCTTTTATTCCGGAGAGGCTTTTACACAACTTCCAGTACTTAAGTATATGAAGTAGATAATACAAATCAAACACTGGCTGAATAAATCATGAAAATCTTTTTTAATTCTTTTTTTTTCTGTGCATTGGTGTTAAGTTCATGATCCCCTGGGACTGCAGTAAAGACAGTAGTGAGCTGCCGTGTGGGTGCTGGGAATTGAATATGGGTTTTCTGGAAGAGCAGCCAGTGTTGTTAACCACTGAGTCATCTCTCCAATCCCCACATAAATGTATTTTTAAGCCAGGTGGTGGTGGTGCCTTAAATCCCAGGGGGTGGTAGAAAGGCAGGGATCGGCAGATCTCTGAGTTTGACGCCAGCCTTGTCTATAGATAGAGTTCCAGAACAACAAGAGCTACGCAGAGAAACCCTATCTCAAAAAACAAAACAAAGTAAAACAAAAAATGTACCTTTAAAGATTCTTTATGTTTGGACATGGTGACCCATGCCTGTAATCCCAGTTCTCAGGAGGTAGAGGCAGGCAAACCATTATGCATTCAAGGCCAGCCTGGTCTATATAGTGATTTCCAGGCCGGCCAGCCAGGGCTAAATAGTAAGACCCTGTTGTTTTACAATTTAAAAACAATTTTTTTTAAACCAGAAATATTGTTCAGTGAGTTTAGGTACATACGCCTGACAACCTCGTGTTTGATCTCCAAGACCTTGTGTAAGCTCTCCTCTGACCTCTACATGTTCGCCATGCCACTTAAAGGAGTTGCGCGTGCACACACACACAGAATAAATAAATGGAAAAAAGTTTAATTTAACTAGAACAATTACTTTGGAAACATAATTTTGCTCTGGTCCTACCCAGTCTCTGGCTCCTACAGTCTTAACACCCCCTGTTCTGTGATGGTCCCTTACCTTGGGGGAAGTATGTATGATGCAGCTGTCCTGTTTGGCTAGGTGCTCCACACTATTCTCTGCACTCTGACCAACAGACATTAACATCATTCCCCCTTCTTTTGGTATTGCTTGGAGTCAAGTGCCAGGCGAGCACTCTACCTTTGAGCTGCACATCGAACCATTTCCTCCTTGCCCTTTATCTACTCTCCCTTCTTCTGTCTTATTTTCTTTCGTTTTTTTTTTTTTTTAATCTTAGAATTAACTGACAATAGTATACATTAGTGAGGCTGATCTACTCAGTTGATACTTTTCTACCATGCTTGAAGCACCACGCATATGGTGGTGGCCACCTGTAGTGCCAGTACTCAGAAAGTGGTGGTAAGAGAAGCAGAAGTTCAAGGTTAGCCTGAGCTAAGGACCTGGTCTCAATAAAACACAAGTGTATATTTGTCATATTTGGTGAATTGATTTTTATTTGAAAAGAAAATAAGATTTATAAAACTTATTCAACTAAAATGTTTATAACTAGACTATGAATTTTATATTGTATAGACTAAAGTTTGTTAAAATGCCAGAGGATATAAATTTTGTTCTTTGTTTCTCCCCTTTCTTTTCCTAAACAGAAAGCGACTTTAGTGATGACTTTAGTGATGATTTTGTAGAAACCCGTCGACGGCGATCAAGAAGGAACCAGAAAAGACAAATTAACTACAAAGAAGATTCAGAAAGTGATGGTTCCCAGAAGAGTATACGACGTGGTAAAGAAATCAGGCGAGTTCATAAGCGGAGACTCTCCAGCTCAGAGAGTGAAGGTAAGTGGTACCTTCTGAGTGTGGAAGGAGGGCGGCCAGAAATCGCATAGAAGGAAGGTTCAGGCTTGTTGTTTATGTGCTTGAGGGTTGTTTTTTGTTTGTTTGTTTGGTTGGTTGGTTTTTATTTTTTTGAGACAGAGTTTCTCTGTGCAGTCTTGGCTGTCCTGGAACTTAACTCTGTAGACTGGGCTGTCCCTGAACTCCAGAGATCTGCCTGCCTCTGCCTCCCAAGTACTGGGATTAAAGATGTGTGCCACCGCTGCCAAACTGATTTATTTTTTAATTCATATAATCACTAGTGTCATTGAGATGAATCTTAGTAGTCTCCTCCTATTTATTATTTAAGTAAACCACTCTTGAGAGGATGCTAATTTTTTTTAAGTCACCCTTATTGATTCATCTATTTTATGTATGTGATGCTCTCTTTTCATGTATGCCTACACCAGATACCACTATGGATGCTTGGTTGTAAGCCACCATGTGGTAGCTGGGAATTGATCTTGCTGGCCCATCTTTCCAGCCCCCAGATGGTCATTTTTAAGATTGTGTTTTAGTAAGTTCCTCTGTATTGTTTTGTGATTCCCTCTGCTCCTTTTTGTTGTTCTGTTTTGAAATACTCTCTCATGCATTGAGGAGCTGAGCACTTTCAAACCATAGTGTTTGTTCTCCTTACCAACTTTTTTTTTTTTTTTTTTGCCAAATTTTATTTTATTGATATTTTTCTTTTTTGGGGCTTTTTAAAGATAGGGTTTCTCTGTATAGCATCCCTGACTGTCCTGGAACTCACTTTGTAGACGAAGCTGGCCTCAAACTCACTGAGATCCATCTGCTTCTGCCTCCCGAGTGCTGGGATTAAAGGCTTGCCGCCGCCACCTGGCTCCTTTCTTACCTTCACTGTGAATTTCAGGTGGTATCTGTTTGAGCAATGGAGTGGTACAATCTCATGTGGATTCTAATTTACTATAGTAGTTATATTATCAATAAATTGAAGAGGGAGAACAAGCCAGTAATTTGGAGAACAGTAATTAGGGATGAGAAGATGCCAGTTGGAACTTGGTTCATAGCTGTAAGAGTAAAATCTTACCAAATTATGGATAGTTTAGCTAAGATTTCCTTTTATTTACTCTGGGGTGTGTGTGTGTGTGTGTGTGTGTGTGTGTGTGTGTGTGTGTGTGTGTTTGTATACTTTCCAAGCATTGAGACTATAGATATGTACCATCATGCCTTCCTGCAGTTTTAATCTTTCCTTATTACTATGTTTACATGATGCCTCAATTTTAGGAATAATGGGAGGAGTTTCTCAGTTTGTGGCTAACTTACCTTTACTTTATTCAAGGACCATCAGAATCTCTTCTTCCACCCCCTGGAAATCTGTTTTTTCCTAAAATCAGAAGTAAAATATACAGTAGATCTTATTGAGCATTGTTACAGGTAGTTGTGTGAAGTAGATATCTATCAAGAGCAGAGCATGGGTTGGATATGGGGAAGAAAGGAGTACTTGAAATTGTTTATGGTTAACTGTGCCAATGGCTTAAATATTTGTTTATTCTAGAGAGCTATATGTCCAAGAACTCTGAAGATGATGGGCTAACAAAAGCATCTAAGCGGTCTGTTCGAAAACGGGGCCGAAGCACAGATGAGTATTCAGAAGCAGATGAGGACGATGAAGAGGAAGGCAAACCATCCCGGAAGCGGCTACACCGTATTGAGACAGATGAGGAGAGCTGTGACAATGCTCGTGGAGATGCAGAGCAGCCTGCCCATGACAACCAGTCCAGGGTCCTGCCCTCAGAGCAGGAGAGCAGCAAGAAGCCCTATCGGATAGAGAGTGATGAAGAAGAGGACTTTGAAAATGTGGGCAAAGTAGGCAGCCCGTTGGACTACAGCTTAGTGGACTTGCCTTCCACCAATGGACAGAGCCCTGGCAAAGCCATTGAGAACTTGATGGGCAAGCCAACTGAAAAGTCCCAGACCCCCAAGGACAACAGCACAGCCAGTGCAAGTCTAGCCCCCAATGGGACAAGTGGTGGACAGGAGGTGGGGGCACCAGAAGAGGATGAAGATGAGCTTTTGCGAGTGACTGACCTTGTTGATTATGTCTGTAACAGTGAACAGTTATAAGACTTCTTTCCATTTTGTGCTAATTTATTCCACGGTAGCTCTCACACCAGCGGGCCAGTTAGTAAAAGCTGTTTAATTTTTCCTAGGAAACTCCACTACAGAACGACTTTTTAGAAGAAAAATTTCAACAAATCCCGAAGTCTTTCTGTGAAGTGACCAGTTTTGAACTTTGAAGATTAATAATTGCTGTAAATTCCTTTTGATTTTCTTTTTCCAAGTTCATGGTCCTTGGTAATTTCATCCATGGGGGAAAAATCTTATTATAATAACAACAAAGATTTGTATATTTTTGACTTTATATTTCCTGAGCTCTCCTGACTTTGTGAAAAGGGTGGATACGAATGCATTCCAAATCTGTGAGGGCCCAAAACAGAATTTAGGGTGGGAGAAAGCACTTGTGCTTTAGCTTTTCATATTAAATATATATTATATTTAACTTTCATGGCATAGATGATGATTAACAAACTGTTTAAAAGTTCAAGTCTGTACTGTTGCAGTTTGAGAATTGTAGATACAACATCATACATATGTCACTTAGTAATAGCCTTCGTGAAATCAGTTTGTTTACTATTGGAGTTACCACACTTTAAATAAAGAAGAGACCATGGAAGTACCATCATAAAAACACTTTTACCTAAGTTTCTGTTATAGCAGAGTTTCTTATTTGAACACACACACACACACATACTCACACACACACACACACACACACACACACACACACACTCATCTGAAAAGCATTTGTATAGTAAATTGTATAGTGAAGCTTTGACAGCCAGATTGTGCTATCAAGAGGTCTTAGTATTATGCTGTGATAATAATATATATGATGGCCTCTACTACACTGTGTCAGGTGGGGAGTCAGTGAAATGAATGTGGGCTTTCCTAAAATGCAGGTACACTATAAACTTTGCCAGCAGTGAAACTCTTCTGGCCATGTGGTGTTAACTGAGATGTCATTTTGAATATAATACATCTAAATATAACATATGGAGATGCTAAGCTGACAATGGTATTTTAGCACATTTGAAGACTGAGAAGGGATTTTTCAGGTGAACTTTAACTGGTCTGTTCTTGCCCTTAGTATCTACTTCAAATTGAAGTCTACAAACAAAGCAGTTCCTTTGGGAGGTTTTTAGTTTTGAGTTTAAGAGTGTGTGAGAGTGTGTGTGTGTGTGTGTTGGAATTTTTTATCTGCCTGAATATATTAGCAGGGTTTGAATGTAGTCTGGCCTTTGGCCATTATATACTTGTATTAAAATCCATTCATAGTCACACAACCAACAGAACTGAGTGAGAACCGCTGATATACATAATAGGCATACCTTCCATTTTAAACATCTCAACACTCTATAAGGACTCGCCCTTTGCTTCAAGAATAGGCGGTTTCTAATTAAATAATGTAACGTAGCTGACACTAACATATGAACTTTATCTTAGTTTCTGTTACAGTTGTGAAGTTTCAGGCACAGCCCTAACCCTGTAGAGCTGTAGCATTTGTGGTTTCCTGCCTGGCACATCCTGAAGCCTTTAGCATTGCCTCAGTGTGTGCTTTTTGCCCTGGGATTCGGGTTTTCTGTCCCAGTGTTGTCTATTGCCGGCAATAGACACACCGTTTCTGCTGCTGGCCCAAGGAACTTCATTTTCCTTTACAGATTAAGCATTATATGTGGTAGTCAGTGTACAGTAAGTCACTTCTTTTTTATTATTAAAAGCTGGTGTTAGACTTGCATCATAAAGACCTCTCTGGAAACTTTATGCTCCTACTTTCTGTTCCTCAACAGATATTGCCCCTAAATCTTATCCTCTGCCCTTTCAAGTGTAGTGCTGAATTTTTTCAGTTACTGGATTTCTGTTTTATTTCAGTTCTGTAGAACTTGACCAATATCTTTTTCTTTGATTCTAGTGATGAACTTATATTTGTGTAACGATGAAACAGAGGAAGCAACCTAAGAAAAAACAATGATGCAGCATTTGCTGCCACAGAACCAGTTGTGGTTTTATCTTGAAACAGTGTTGTGCTAGAAGGACAGGGCTGGCTTATAGTCATACAAAGTAAAGGACTAAAACAGAGCCACGTTCACTTGTAAAACTACCTTTCTAGCTATTTTATTTGAAAATGAGCTAAGTAAACTTTTTAACAGTCCAGAACAGACAGGCAGAAGGATTCCTGCTAGTGTATGGTAAGTGGTTCCTGCCATCCAGTCTCAGAAGGGGTCGATCGTGCAGCCAGGTAAAGCCACTGTGGTGTAGAAACTCTCCCATGTACCTGTCTCTACCTCTGCACACACCAGCTCTTGCTTCCATCTGTCAGTTCTTCTCACCATTTATACAAATGATTAGAAGTAGTAAATGAGTAGCTAATACAACAGCATGCGGAATGTGAAGTAACTGCTGTTAATGGAAAACCCACAGTAATTTTACAGTAAAGACTGAAATGTTTTACTTAGCAAGTGTCCCACTGATGGGTTTCAAAACCACTTTGTGCTATCTGATCCTTACTAAACTTGAGTGTCAACTCGATACTGAGTGTCTCCCTTCTAACCTTACATTCTCATTAAACCAACTGGCAATGGAGAGTAACCCAGGCAGCTAATACATACTAATTCTTAGTATCCAGAGTTCTGCTGCTTGGCTTTGTTGTTTCTATTCATGCTGGAGATTGAATCCAGGGCCTCAGGCATGCTAGGTAGAACTCCTGCCCTGTTTAGTGTTTAGATTCAGTCCCTCGGAGAACCGGAGGATGGAAAGGGAAAACAATAAGTCATATAGATGGTCAACTATCTTCAATCCAAGGTAGATTCAGATTTACAATAGATCAACAGAATATCTTCTTTTAATAACTTCAGTGGCCCTCCCACCCACCTTTTGAAATACAAGTGTTGAACTTGTATCAAAGGTTCCCAGTATCAGACTCTCAGTCTACAGTATATGCATTATGGGAAGATAAAGTCTAGTATTCAATGTGTTTAGTTTGCCATTTTAGTAAAGTTTAAAAACCAGCCAGATTTTTACAGTCCAAGAGCTTAGAACAGAAATAGTTTAGGAAAAGGACTCAGACTGGTTTGTGCCTGGGTGACGAGATGGTGTTTGTTGTAGAATGTTACTGGAAAGTGCTGTGTTGTCAACAATACACATAATACATTGAGCTTATTTCCTCCTTGACATCTTTTCCAGTTTGTCAAGGTTGCAGATTCAGAGGATAGAAAGGAGTTTCATTAAGAATGAATTCATGTTTACTGGTAACTTATTTTTTAAAAAGTGATCTGCCAAAGAACTGAGAACTTCTGATACTAATGAAATTGTTGTGGGGGAAAAGATTTTTAAAAGAATGTTACCTTTCAGTTTCTAGTTGATAGGACCTATCCTATATAATAGACATTTAAGCAAATATTGAGAAAAATGTAGACACTTGTTTAAATTGAGGGTTAAAGTGCTGGAGAATGTGTTAGTAACTTTTAAGTGGGATTGTTGGAGTTCCCTTTGTCATAGGAATGCCTGTTTACCCTCATTTGTAGAGAGAGGTGTTAGGCACTTGCTAATTGTTCTACCAGAAGACAAAGGCACCTAACAAATGTTTATAACACTCAGATAATGCTGTGACCCCACTGCCAGCTGCCACAGCAGAGGTCTCTAGTTCAGGATAGTCTCAGCTTTAGAACAAGTGTTCAAAGACCAAGAGTTTTCTTAAGAAGAAATGTGTATATATACACACGTTCTGGATAACTACAAGAATGCTGAATTCATCATGAACTGACATAAAACTATAAGGCAAATAGTTGTGACAAAATTATGAATATGATTCAATTATAGACAGTTTAGAGAAAAAATAGTTTTTCTTGTTGGTTTGACATTCTCAAAATATATTTCTGGTTCTCCTAAGCAGAGAATGCCAAAACCATATGTATCCTGTAATCTACATGTCCTTGTCTGTTTTGATATGATCCATTATTGAACTCAGAATAAAATTCATTCCTGTTTGATCCATCATTCCTAGGATAACCTTGGAAGTGGCAAGCTAACTACTGGTTTATTTCCTCACTGTTTGTACCCTGATTCTGAGAGAAAACTGCTTTCATCTGTTTTGTTTTGTTCTGGACAGGGTTTCTCTGTGTAGCCCTGGCTGTCCTGGAACTTGCTCTGTAGACCAGGCTGGCCTTGAACTCAGAGATCCACTTGCCTCTACCTTCTGAGTGCTGGGATTAAAGGCGTGTGCCACCACTGCCCAGCTTCATCCAGTTTTTAAACAGAGTTATTGTGTTATACTTCCACTTAATTTTCAAAATACTTCAATCTTACTTAAATGATTTAACATTTTTTGAGTGCCATGGATTGCTAGGTAACCGGCTGCATTAACACTGACTATAAGTCATTCCCATGTAAACAGTCATAAGCCAAAATAAAATAGACTTGGTATAGAACCACTTTAGATTGTACACTCACGTGTACAAGTGCAGATCCCTCAGAAGTTGACTAGAACAAAGTTCCCTTAACATTTCCACTCCCTTTGGTCATTATACTCCCTGCCCCTTTCACATTTCTGCCACTTTGCTCTGGGAGATGCTGTCCTGGCACACTCACTAGTCTCAGTTCATGGAGCTGTTGCTTTTATCTTAATAATGTTTCAGATATATCTGTCCTATACACAATATATGTGAAAGAACATAACAAATTACCAGATGAATAGAGATTTACTAAGCTCTAGACATTCTGAATGGGAATAAAAATTTAAGGAACTGTATTTGTAAGTTTGTTTTCTTTTTTTCTTTTCTTTTTTTTCCCCAAACTGTTACAAGCTAGAAAATGTGCAAAGGACTGAATAATCTTCCTTGTTCTTTTTGCCACTGGATGATATAAGTTAAGAATGAGCTTGTTTAACTATATATTTTCTTGGCTTTCATCATTTTCAGAAGGAGTCTAACTTAAGTGTTTGGGGTTTGTTTGACCTGTATTTATTGCATCCTGGTCCTAGGTCAGGAGCCTGCATGTTATGTTTATGGATAGCCAGAACACAGTCATTGTGGAACTTAATGGCTCAAGATCTTCTAAATCATTTAACTTATTTTGTACGTTGCGAAAAAAGAAAAAAAAAGTTTATTTTGCTTGAGAGTCACATTTTTTTATAACTGTACAGCTTTTAAGGGATGGGAGGTGGGAAAATGCCCTAAAATAGGATGTAGATTTTTACAGTTGTGTTTATGCTAGAACATCTACAGGAACATTATGTAATTAAACCTCAAATTGTTTAAAACCTTGTGCCATGGTCTTTTTCGTTCAATTGCCCTTTGGCAGAGTTGGTGCATGTCAATACTGCACTGCTGTATGGACAACCCTTGAAATTAGATTAAAACCTTTTTCCAAGTTTTCATACCATTGCATGAGTATACCCCAGAGCCACCCCTGTGTGTACATGCACACACATGCCCACTGACATGCACACAGAGTTTATATTAGTGTAAATGGATCTTGAGGATCAGTACAGCAGTCACATCCCAAGTCTGACAATCGGTAGCATATTCTTTCAGTGCATGCCTGTGTGGTTCCTGTCTAGGGTATGTTGATATTGGTGTGTTTTGTTCTATCAGAGTAGCTTCTTGATCATAGTAACTAGATAGTACCTTACCTAAAACTCCCATGGGAATACATGTGCACTTTAAAAAGGGATGTCCTATGTTGAGATGGAGGTGGGAAAGGGGCAGGGCTAGTTTCATCATTTGACTATTCCATAGACTTACCCAACTCCACACAAATAACTTGCTGAAACTTGGTGGGAAGGGACATCACAATCAATTTTTAACCCTTCCTTATTTGGTAAGTAATTTGGCAGTCTCTTAGAACTGCTGCTGGCAGTCTTCATGGCACACTTTACCATGCTATTGCCACACCTTTTTAAATGCCAGTACCTTTTTGGTTATCTCGTAATTTTACCATTTTAATTTACTACCTGTAAAGTATAACCATTCTTATAAGGAACTGAATTCATCTAAATGTGTTGTAATTTCTAAGTAAACACCTGTTGTCAACTAATTTAGGAAATAATTTTCTTTGCTATCTTCACCCATTTAGAAGCTTAGGGGCCATGGATTTCAATGTGAAGAGTACAAATTCCAGATAAGAGTTTGTAAGTTGTCTTATTTTTGAATCTCACTTTGATTTCATAAAGTAGTTACTAAATTCCAGGAAACATTCAATCAGAACATGTCTTGCATTTTCAGATGTGCTTATATGAACTACTTTATTTTCCCTATGCATAAAATATAAAATATTGGAATAGTTCTTAAAATATTGTTTTTAGATGACAGCTGAAGCAGAAGCTCCAACATTAGCATCAAACTAACTCTTTGCTGTTAGTCAAAGAGAAGCTGGAGTGTGCTGCCACATAGTGTAGTCCCACATGTGTAAATCAAGTGCAAAAAAATCTGGAAACTGGAAACAATTCTGATAACACAAGTAAAGTCTATGTATGAGAAGTATGGCAGGCCCTGAGAGCGCAAAGCTTCGGGAGTGTTAGAACTGCAGTGCATAGTTGTTTAAATAAAATATTCCTGTGACACCAAAATATGTTATGGCTGGTGCCAATATTTTCCTTAATGAAATGTTGAATGTCTCATTACAGTCTGATCAGAATTCTCAGTGTAATAAGCCAGGCCTAAGCCAATTTACAGCTATTGGCCTTAATGTAACTTTTTTTCCCAAAATGTTTTATTATAATACTTGTCATTTCTTTCACTTAATATATGTCAATTGTCGTAATAAAATGTTTAAATAATTCGATGTACTTAGCATTGTGTTTGAAAACTTAGTTTTATGTTAAATTTTGTGGCATTCTAGAACACTCAGAATTTTCACTAACTGATTCATAAAAGATTAAGATGGTCTGTATCACCCAAGAATATACTATTATTCATGATCTAGGAAGCAAATTTGCAAGTAGACCAACTTCCTCAAAATAGGTTTTAAGGCTATTTATCAGCTAGGTTTATACAAACATGACACTACCATTCTTGGTTTCTGTTACTCAGCCTTTGGAGAGTTGACATTACAGAGCCCTGGGCTTTGTTCTGTACAGTCCTCTGAGAGCACAACTTCACCAGAAGTCAGCAGCATAGGGCAAAGGTTTTCAGTTCCTTTCTTAGGGTACCTAAAGTTGTGTTTTGTTTTACACAGCAAGCTAGCAGAACTTGTCAGTACTTGCAATTCTGACCCTAAACTACAGATTAACATTTATGTAAAGAATGTCAATCAGGATTTCACTTCATGTAATTGCTGGTTTATGATTCTAAGAAGATTGTCAATTATATTGAGGTTTTTAGACAAATCAGCTAAGAAGTGACAGCGCCCTGATGACCTCTTGTTAATGATTTATGTGTATGGGTACTTTGTCTCCATGTATACCTATCTACCATGTACATGCATGGTGCCCTTGGAGGTCAGGAGAGGGCATTAGACCCCTTAAACTGAACAGTTGTGAACCACCATGTAGGTTCTGGGAATTGAACCTGGTTCCTCTGGAAGATCAGACAGTGCGCTTAACTGCTCTGCAAACCACAGTCCTAATAATGCATGGAGTCTTAGCTGAGCACGGGGCTAAAACATAGCTCTTAACTTTCATCTTAGATTAAGAGACCAGAGGATGGTTTCTTTTAAAAACTAGGATTTAATTCACTAAATGATAATCATTTAGTAAAAGTGGGATTATAATACAACCATTTTAATGAAATCAAGTGTTAGGACCCTTCTGGATGAGGTAAATGCTTATGAAATTTTGACTGAATGAGTTCTGTATGGTTTCTAAAGTCTAAATGACATCAAAGAGAAAGAACATTAAGAGGATATGGTCTCTGTACACAACATGAATGCATACAGTCAGTCATATCATATAGGAAAAGTTAGCTAGAACCTACAATACATGTTCACAGTATAGGCCACCTTCCCTATTCAGTTACTCCTTTCATTTAAGAGCCACTTGACTTAAGTTTCCATCTTCCTTTCTACCCTGACTCCAAGAAGCTTTTTTTATAGCAACCCCGGTCTATACTCCTTTACCTGGTAGCTTTCCTATTACCTTTAGGTCTTTCCCATCTCAGTTCTTTGTCTCTGATTTCAATTCTTCTGAGTATTCCTATGAGATGTTCTTCCTTCAAGGTTGAAAAAAAAAATGGGTATGTTCCCATTTAATCTGTTTTCTAGTTATTTTTTGCTTGATTTTCAATGTTTAAAATAAACGAATCATGGAACTGTTAAACTGAATTTAGAAGTGCTTACAAAAAAGAAACTAGTTTCTAAGAGAAATTCCAAGAAAGCAACAGGCTCTTTTGCAACAATTGAATCTATCACCAGAAACAACTGTTACATACAGCTGATATAATAGAAATCTTGGCCAGACAATGGTGGTGCATGCCTTTAATTCCAGTACTTGGGAGGCTGAGGCGAACTCTGAGTTCAAGGACAGCCTGGTTTACAGAGTGAATGCCAGGACAGGCTCAAAAGCTGCTGTTACAATTTTATAGTCAAAAAAAGTCTAGAGTTTGGCTGACTGAATTCCACCCACTCGGTCTCTCTAAATTCTAGCTTGTGAGTTCAATGCCTAAAATGGGGTCAGTTAGTAGAAAACTTTTTCATATTATTTTCATTAAAAATATGAATTGAGCAGGTGTGGTGATTGTTGCTGTTTTGCTGGAGCTCTGTGGGCAAAGAAACGGGAACCACAAAATTAAACAAACCCACATGGAATTTACTGGGAAAAGGAGCAAAGGGAGGGGCTAGGTGTAAGCATTTTGACTGCTTGGATGGGATGGACAGGGACTCTGGCACTCGGGAGCCAAAATACTGAGTGTTACAGCTCAGATGGAAAGGTATTTTGGCACTCTGGAGCCAAGGAATACCACAGGACACAATATGCACAGCAGCTTACAGCCCTGCTTTAGGGAAAGGCTTCTCCAGTGTGTCAGCTCTGCTCTAGCAGGAGAGTTTCCGAGGCAAAGTTGTTACAGTTCGGCTCCAGCCCCCACTCCTCCCAGGAGAGTGGAGTGTAACAATTTAGCTTTGCCCACTCCACTGGTGATCGTCTCGTGAGATTCTGCTCCTGCAAAAGCAGCGAAAGAAGGTCTCAGCCAAACCTCATTCAAGAGATTTACTGGGAGCGAATAAAATCCAGGAGGATGGCTGCCCTCAGTCAGGGTAGCAGAGAATAACTAGGCAGGTAGAACAGCTGCAAGCTGAACTCACACAGGGTTTATATAGGGATGCTTGGGTGGAGTTTTTCCAGAGCAGGGATTGGTCAGATTTCAGTCCTTGAGCTCAGACTGGATAGATCTTGTGGTCAGGGATTGGTTGGTTTTCTGCACAGGTTTAGGGTCAAGGTGTTTCTTTCACTGGTCCTTTTTAGCCTTTTGGCTCTAATTTTAGGATCAGGGTGTATTTCTTTCACTGGCTCTGATTGCAGGGCCAACGGGTGTTTCTTTGGCACTGGTTTCAGGGTCAGGGTGCATTTCTTTGGTTCTGATTGCAGGGCCAAAGTGTGTTTCTTTAGCTGGCCCTCTTTCCCTACAGTAGGTATTGTCCGACCACGAACAGAGATGGAAGGTGGCGAGGGAAGAGAAAAGAGGTAAAGAGAGAGGGCAGGCAGGAAAGAAGAGGGAGATAGGTAAAGTCTGGTCTGCCCCAGGGGAACAGCAGGAAAGACAGGAGTGGGAAAGCGAGCAGAAAGAGATGAGCAGGCCAAAAAGAAAGAAAGAAAAAAAGTTGCGTGGGCAGGGTCTTTCTCTTAAGGGAGTCCTTTGCATCTGGGTGCAAACTCCATGGAACCCTGGGCTGACCAGGGTACTGCATGAGTGCATTCTGCCAGGTGACAGGGGCAGGCCAGTGTAATGCCTGAATCCTTCTAGTGATGCTTGCCTGTGAGAGTACTAGTACCCAGAGTAGGATGTGTGTCGATTGGAGGCCAGCCTGGGCCGCCAATCGAAAACAACAAACAACAAGAATCCACGAAGAAATAAAAGTGGTAAAGTGCTTACTCTGTGTGGTACATACATAGCCCACGGCTAGGCTACGGGTGTCTATTTATTTACTGAGCCTGTAAGTCTTCGCTGCTCTCATTCTTTGGGGCCTAGGAGTTGCAGATCAATGGCTACCTTTCCCTTCGGCGCTGTCTTTGGACTGTCTCCCTCGCTTTCGTTCAAGTGATGTAACCTCTTTGTGCTCCTGTAGCGAGGCACGTGGGGATGGGGACTGTGAGGTCTGGCTGTGTGAATCGGTGAGATCAGGCCCGATGAGGCGGAGTTGGGAAGACTCGTGCACCCAAAGGGTGGGGAGGGGAATGACGTCCAGAGAGATGAGTGTGGATTCCATCTCCTGTGCGTTCTCCCAGGCCCGTTCCCGGTTTTGTTGGGAAGGCATAGTATTCCTCAAACATACTCTCTCAGGGTTTGCTGTGACGAGCTTGAGATAGAACCACAGCGAAAACACAGTTCCTCTAAGCCCCCTCGGAGGAGAGGGGCGGGGCGGGTCGAAGGTGGGGGCTGGAGAAGACCAGTATCACGTGACTAAAGCCAGCCAGGTCACCACGGACCTCCAGTGCGTCTAGACCGTCTCGTCTCTATGGTCAACGGCTCGCCGAACCCAGCGGGAGGAAGTTGTTCTTCCGGGATACCACGACTGCTTCCGGGCCTGCTCATGCGCTCTGGGATTGTGGCGCTCGGTGTCTAGGATCGTGCGGAGCCAAGATTTCACCCGCAATGAGCTTCCTCAAGAGCTTCCCGCCACCTGCGTCGGAAGACGGGCTCCGGCTGCAGCAGCCAGACACCGAGGCTGTGCTGAACGGGAAGGGGCTCGGCTCCGGCACCCTTTACATTGCCGAGAGGTAGGGTGCCCGGGTCCGGCGCCGTCCTCCCTCGGGGGCTCCTTCCTCCCCCAGGCGCTGCTGCAAGTGTAGTAGCTTAAAGGGATTCCCTCCCCGATCCCACTTGGCTGTTCTCTAGACAGCGCTTCTCTTTAACGACTCGAGCTTTTTACCGGCCTGTCTGCTGGAGCCTGGCGCGTGGTCAAGTTTAGAGTTTTGAGTTTGCAGAGCCTCGGTTAGTTTTCGATGTGCCTGGCTTTCTGCATGATCGTGTGACCTACCTTTTTTTTTTTTTTTCCTGCGTAAGATACCTGGATTCAGTGTAGATTCCGAAGGGTTTAAGACCTTTGATTAATGAGCATGGGTTTTTCTGCTCCAGGTGTGGGTGGGGAAAAGGAGCATCTTTTGGCTCACGCAGGGCGGGGTCATAACCAGCCGAACCCGACTCCTGGATGCGCAGGTCCTGAAAGGAATCCTACTTTCATTTGACTACCTTCAGCGCTTTGTACTTTCACAGTAAGGTAGACATGTCACTGAAACACACACACACACTCCACACACACACACACACACACACACACACACACACATTCCTTCCTGTCCTTCAGAGTGTCTGATTTATCTTTTGCTATATTTCATTTCTCTCTGTCTCTCCCTCTCCTCTCTCCCTTCCTCCGTCCCTCCTTCCTTCCTGTCCTTCAGAGTGTCTGATTTATCTTTTGCTATATTTCATTTCTCTCTGTCTCTCCCTCTCCTCTCTCCCTTCCTCCGTCCCTCCTTCCTTCCTGTCCTTCACAGTGTCTGATTTATCTTTTGCTATATTTCATTTCTCTCTCTCTCTGTCTCTCCCTCTCCTCCCTCCCTCCCGCTGTCCCTCCTTCCTTCCTGTCCTTCAGAGTGTCTGATTTATCTTTTGCTATATTTCATTTGTCCTCCACAGAGGATGTCCTCTCTTTTAAGAGCTTGTGTTATAATATTGGGCCTGACTAGAAAATCCAGGCTAGCTCCCTTATTTTCCCGTCATTTGATTTTCACCTACAGCAAAGAGAAAGAGAATATTAGAATGACTTACAGGGTATGATCCAGCTAATGCAACAATGACTGTCAATGAATGGAAAGTCAAAAAAATCCAGAAGTTGCTCAGTCCAAGAGGCTGGGTCTCTCAGCTGGTCTTCAGTGGATGCTGTAATCCCACTTCAGGATCTCTATTAAAGTCTTTCTGCCTCAAGATCCAGATTAGAAGTGAGTCTTCCAATGGGCGGTAGTTCGGCATGCTTTTAATCCCAGCACTCGGGAGGCAGAGGCAGGTGGATCTCTGTGAGTTCCATGCCAGTCTGATCTACACAGTGAGTTCCAGGACAGGCTCTGAAGCTACACAGATAAACTATCTCAAAACACACACACAAAACAAACAAACAAACAAACAAACAAAAAAAGGTATTTTGAGCTTGGAACCAATGCTTTTTTACATCTCATTCCAAAATTAATTTTAAATCAATTAACACAAGTTCAGGGTCTCTATTTTTCTGTGCTGTTTTTAAACTTCATTAGAAATAAAAAGACAATATTTCTCCTTATTCATAAGCATCAGAGTTTAACAAAACATTTTTCAACTTGTGTTTACTACTCTTCTAGTTCTTGTCTTTGCATTTATGACATTTTGGTTTTTTTTTTTTTTTATGACTGGTCATAATTATATATCTTGGTTTTGGAGTACTTCCTTCTAGAATATGTGAAAGACAAAACAGAATTAAAACTTAAGTCAAATAAGTATTGCTTGCAAGTGCCAAATCCAGTTCTTCATGAGGCTCTCAGAGCCCATAGGAACCCTGTGCTGAGACATGTTGTCATCTTTATGGGCTAGAGAATGATTTCAGCTGTTAAACCAAAGGCCATAATTTGCTAGGCCCCTGTTTGATTTAGATGCTAACTTTTCCACTGCCCAGTGGAGTTAATAAAGGTTCTGTGGTCTGAATATTTGAAATGTTTTTGGATGGGTAAATCTTGGATGTCCATTCTAAATAGTAGTCATGTCAAGAGATTTTGGAGGTGAGAAAGGAAACATAGTTTGATAAATCTGTTCTTGGTACCCATGAGCACTGTTTCATCCCCACATTAGAGAAGAGCTGTGGGTGGGAAGGGAGGACCAACACAGCACACAGTCAATTACATAAGAGATCTGTTCCTTTGGAAGCAGTAGGGACAGAATAATTCCTCAAACTGTTTCTCCCCCCCCCCCCCCCCCGAAACAGGGTTTCTGTGTGTAAAAGCCCTAGCTGTCCAGGAACTCGTTTGCTGTGTAGACCAGGCTGGCCTTGAGCTCATAGAGATCTGCCTGCCTCTGTCTCTGCCTCCCAGGTGCTAGAATTAAAGGACTGTGCCACCCCTTCTCCCCAGTAATTCCTCAAACTTTTATCACTTTGCTGTTTAAAGTTTATCACCTTAACCCTCTTTAATATTTTTTTCCAAATAAGCCTAATGTGTGGAATTCTTTTCAATAACTGCATCTTTTCTTGCTTTTAATTTTTAAGTATACCATTAAATAATATAGCTAGATGGACCAGCCTGGTCTACAGAGTGACTTCCAGAACAACCAGGGCTACTCAGAGACAGTCTTAAAACATGCCACCCCATGCAAATAATCATAGTGTGCTTATAGAGTTGTGCTCGTTTACCACCATAGTCTAACATATGCCTTTGCTTTTGGTCATGCATTTGCTAAGGATTATACCATTAGACATTGATTTACTTGGTGGTGGTGGTGGTAGGTTCCTGAGGCATAAAATTTAGTGTCTTCTTAAACTGACTATGAATGATTTAGAATGCTCTGCTGTTGTTCCTCCATAAAGGAATAATTGGCTCTCTGCTTGTATATTTTGTTAGTTGTTGGTTTTTCTTACCTTAGACAGTGCCTTTTTAGTGTAGCCCTGACTGACCTAGAACTGCTCTGGAGACTATGCTGGCTTTGAACTCACAGAGATCTGCCTGCCTCTGCCTTCCAAATGCTAGGATTAAAGTAGTTTGTCACTACGTTATTTTTGAGACCTGGACTCAGTGTAGCCCAGACTGGCCTGGCATTTATTCTGTGGCTCAGGTTAGACTTGAACTTAACAGCAGTTGTCCTACATCAGCCTCTAGAGAGCTCATATTATAGCTCTGATCCATGGCTAGCTTGTCAGAACTATGTAGAAACTAGGATGAATCTGGGCATGGGGGCACAGACTTGTAATCCCAGCACTTGGCATGTGGAGGCAGGAAGAGCAAGAGGGAGTCTATAGTTTGTGACTGTGGCTGGGCAGGGTGGTGCAGGCCTTTAATCCCAGCACTGGAGGCAGAGGCAGGCAGATCTCAGTGAGTTCTAAGACAGCCAAAGCTATAGAGAGAGCCCGTTTCCAAGGGGGAAAAAGGTTCATGACCAACCAACCTGGGCAGCTGAGGTCAACATGAGCTAAATATCAAAGCTCTGCCCCCAAAACAAGAGGGAATGGAGGAAGGAGGAGAGAGTAAGGAGGAAGAAATTGGAGAAGATACAGGATATGCATATGTTATGCATATGTTCTGCTGTCTTGTAGAGGTATGTTCCCATTCATTTACCTTCTATTTTAAATTTTATTAGTATATAGTAGTTGTGTTAAAATGACTTTTATTAGGGTATTCTCTTTTAAAGTAGTTTATTGACATGGTTTACATGCCATACAACTTACTCATTTTATTCATAGAAGTTGATGGTTTTTATTATGCACTTTTATCCTCACTAAATCTTCGAACATTTTGTTGCCTCCCCCCCCCCAAAAAAAAAAAAACCCAAAACCCCAAAGCTCATTGACATTCATTCCCTGTTTCCTTTCAGCCTTGCTTTTGTGGGATTTTGCCCCCTGCCAAGGTCTTTTCTGCTAGATTGTACAATTCATATAGTGGGAAAACTAGGCATTATCTGTTAAAATTCAACATACTAACTTTGGTGATATATTTCCTTTGTTATACCAATAAAATATTTGTGCACTTTTAAGGGGAAGGTATTGTGTGGCTTTTTGGGGTTTTGTTCAATTTTTAAAATGTTATTTTATTTGCATGGTGTTTTGCCTGCATGTATGTCTGTGTATCACATGTATCCCAGGTGCCTTTGGAGGCCAGAAGAGGGTGTCAGATTTCTTGCAGCTGGAATTACAGATCATTGTGAGCTTGGAATGTGGGTGTTTGGAATCGAACCTAGGCCTTCTGGAAGTACTCTTAACTACTGAACCATGTCTCCAGTCCCTGTAGCTTTTTCTTAAAGCTGGTAATAAATGGGGATTTTTATGTTATCTCCTCAGGTGATAGTATATTTTTTTTGAATTGTAATTCTAATCACATCTATTTTGTGTGTACATCATTTAATGTACCAGGAGTGGAAAGGTTGATTTCGGGTTTTCTTGCATGCTTACTTACTGAGAACTGTGCTGACATTTTTGAAAAATGTCAAATAAAGGGATGGAAATAACAGAGTACAAACGTGGTTGATTAGTACACTTAGTGCTAATATATGTTACCAAGCAGGTAACAGAAGTGATCCTTGTAAAAAGGAGGTCTCATGGAGTTATTGGGGACTTACTTGACTTGGTGAAAAGATCTACACAGCAAAGAGGGTAATGGAGACATTCTAAACAAGAATGAGCACAGAAAACAAGTACAGGGAAGGAGCTGACAGCTATCAAGAGCATATGCTCTTTCAGAGGACCAGAGCTAGATTGCCAGTACCCACATGCACGTATACAGAGAGGAAAAATAAACATAGATGACTTGCCTCTCAAATCTGTTTGAATTTATAGCCAGAGGAATAAAACTGTAAAAGAAAAAAATTCAGTTCTTGTTACAAAATTTTCTTATTTTAAGGAGTATTTCTAATATTGTCAATAAATTTGAATTTCTTTCCATGCATAAAAGTGTCCTGGTTGAACCTTTATAAATTTTGGAATATTAAGTTAGGATTTAATTTTTAGAAATAATGTGCCTAAACCATGTTTTTCAGCCGCCTGTCTTGGTTAGATGGTTCTGGATTAGGATTCTCACTGGAATACCCCACGATTAGTTTACATGCAGTTTCCAGGGACCCAAATGCTTATCCTCGAGAGCATCTGTATGTTATGGTGAATGCCAAATTTGGAGGTATGTATGGCATAACGTAAGGTAATGCTTTCTCTGATAGAAAAGTATATTTTAAAGGGCAGTATTTGTTTGTTTGTTTGCTTTCTTGCTTTGAGATGAAATCTTACAGGCTGCTTAAGTTAGCCCCAAACTTCTGGGCTTGAGTAACTGTCCTTGTCCTCCCAAATACTGACACTTAAGATGTGCCACTTTATCAGCCTAAAAAGCAATCTTTGATAGTGTAAACTGTAATCCATTGACCCACATTACATAGTATCATATTAATCAAAATTAAATTACCTAAAATAATTTGGCCATTTGAATTTTTTCTAATGGACATTGGGTTTGTGTATATCTGCCTTTTATTTCCTTTATGTTTTCACTTAGAATTCTTTTAATATGAATATATTTCTACTTTTTTAATTTTAACTACATATTCCTTCTTTTAAAGGCTCTTCAGAGATATGAACCAGTGTATTTTGTCTTTCTAGAAATTTAAGATAGAATTATTTTATTTATTTATTTTAAAGATGTATATGCAGGTGAGGGTTATTGCCGCATTTATGTTTGTGACTTATGCCAGCAGAGACCAGAGGAGGGTGTACGTTCCCCTAGAGTTAGAGTTACAGACTATGTGTATGTGTGTCTGTGTGAATGTATGCTACATGTGTGTGGATGCCTGCAGAGACCAGAAGAGGGCATTGGATTCCTTGGAACTGGAGTTACAGGAAGTTTTTTAGGCTAAACAATATTCATATCAGAAACTGTACTTCTAGAGCAGTGTATTAGCTACTTTAGTATTGCTGTGCCAAAACACCATGAACAGCTGGGAACTCACATCTCAGAGTACAAGTAGAGGCAGAGAGAGACACACACTGGAGAAAAGCCTATCCCCAGTGACACGGCTCCTCCAGTAAAGCCACTCCTCCTAATCCTTCCCAAACAGTTCCTCCCAGGACCAAGTATTTAAACAGATGAGCTTGGGGGCCAGTCTCATTCAAGACACCCCAAGCAACAAACACTCTTAACCACTAAGCTGTCTCTCTAGGCCCAGAATTATTTTTATTTTGTTAAAGTGTGATTCTCAGTAGGTGGGTGGAGAGAATTTTATGTGCTGCCTGTGGCTGATGAAATTTTAATTGGAGGAGGAGGGGTGCTACTGGCATCTCATAGATGCCAAAATCCCTACAAAAAGTATCTAGTACAAAATTGTCAGTAGTGTTAAAATTTAGAACCCTTGAATTATAAGGTTCCCAAGTATTAATAATGTAATTAAATTGTTATGGTAATGGATAATTTTTTTCTGAAATCTTGTATATCAGACAATCCCATTAGTTTGTTCCTGACACCTTCAAGTTGAGGTTTTCTTTTGGTTCCAGATTTAATAATTTTTATTTAGTTGTGAACACTAGTTGCTAATTTTTAGAATTCTGGCAAGCCAGCTATCCAAAAATATTCTCACTATAAGATTTCAAATTCTTGCTGTTGGAAAGGGTTCAAAGATAGATTAAAAAATAAGAGATTTGAGCTGGCAGTGGTGGTGCTACATGCCTTCAATCCCAGCATTTGGGAGGCAGATGCTGGTGGATCTCTGAGTTGGAGAGCAGTCTGGTCTACAGAGCTAGTTCCAGGACAGCCTCCGAAGCTACACAGGGAAACCCTGTCAAAAATGAACTAAAATAAAATAAGAGATTTGAAAAAGGATAAAGAAATGTTAAAAGTCCTTAGATGTTGGAGTGTAGCATGACTCCCTCATGAGGTGTTAAGCACAAAGTTCGCTCATTTGACAGAAGGAAAGAAAGGGATTTCCATTTGTTTGTTTGTTTGTATCTCAATTTCAGAGATATTTCAGTCCGTCTAAGTGGAGAACACATGGTGGCAGGCCTGTGAGGCAGCAGCTGTCCACTTGGCAGCAGAAAGAGTAGCATCAGAACCAGGGCTGGGTAGAACCTTCAAAAGTCTGGCCTTAGTGCTGCCCTGTGTGCAGCAAGAGTTTAAGACGTGGCTGTAGGAACATTTTAGAACTCAACCATAACACTAAGTAAATGCAACTGTGATTTTTATAACTGTTAGCCAGTGTACTATTGCTATGACAAAAGACTTTAGATCATCAATTTAATAAGGGGAGGACTTATTTTGCCTTATGAGTCACAGATTTCATCCAATACTCATTTGGCTATTTCTTTCAACCTGTGTTATCACATCATATCATGGCAAAAGCACATGGTTGAGGAGACTTTAAGTAATAAATAGAAGATTTGCTCATATTATGACTGCCAGAAAGCAAAACTTAGAGGGCCTGGAGTTGCCATTTGCCCTTCTGGATAGGCCTCCAGTGACCTAACTTTCTGTATGGCCTCACCTCCTGCAGATTTTAACGCCCACTAGCACCATAGGCTGATGACTAAACCTTTAATATTCGGGGCCTTTGAGTTCACTCAAGACCCTAATCATAGCAGTAAGTAGGAAAATTAGGTGTTGTTTAAAATGCAAAACTTTAAAAGTACTCTTTTCTCTCTCTTTGCTTGTTTGTTTGTGACAGGGTTTCTCAGTGTAACAGCCATGGCTGTTCTAGAACTTGATTTGTAGACCAGGTTGGCCTCAAATTTCTGAGATCCAACTCCCAGGTGCTAGGATTAAAGGCAAGTGCCACCACTGGCTGGGTTCTTTCTCTCTCCCTCTCTCTTCTCTCTATCTGTCCTGGAACTCACTTTGTGGACCAGGCTGAACTCACAAGAGATCTGTCTGCCTCTGCCTCTGCCTCCTGAGTGCTGGGATTTAAAGGTATGTGCCACCACCATCCAGCTTAAAAGTACTCTTGTCAATCAATCCAAATGCTGATGATGTATTGGAGCCAGTATTGTGGCTCGGTAGTGTGATGTGTGTTTAGCATATGTGAAGTCCTGAATTTAAGCTCTCCCACCAAAACCAAAATAAATGTTGCTGCATAATGCCCAATTTTTACTTGTCCAGCAAAACTCAAGTGAGGTAGGGATTCGGTAATATTAGACAAAAGAATAAAGCACCCCCAGTGAGTAAACTGTGCCTCACTTGCCAGGTGTTGAGTCATTTTCTCATGAGTCTCAGTTTCATTGAAAAAAACAGCAGCTCTAGAGGCTCTAGAGGATTATGTTAGTCTGTCTCACTTTCCACATGGCCTCATCTCTTACAGGGTCTGCTGACTCCCAGTAGCTCCTCAGGCTGCTGACTTAATCTTTAATGATTGGAGCCTGAGTGCTGCTGGGTTTTGTTCATGCTGAGGTTTAAACCCAGCGCCTCACTTGTCTATACTTTCATACTATTCTACACTGAATTTACATTAAATAAATACTGTATTAGTGGGTGCCCTTGTTTACCTTGTCAACCTTAGTGGATGGAGAAAACGCAAAGATATTAATAAAATGCACTTACATATAACTGTGATGGTATACTGGTATTTCCAGAGACATTTCGGTAAGGGAGCTGAGGGGAAGAAGCCCAGATGTCCCTATCAGCATCAACAGTCTGAGTGCTGAGATGGAACAAGCTGTTAGGGTGGGTGTTTTCCCTCACCTTCCCCTGGCTTCTGTTCCTACACTCTGCTTCCTGGCTGCCATGGGGGAAGATGCTGTGCTCCATCTGACCCTCTCTGCCATAATTCAGTTCCCTAACATGGAGCCAGCTAGCTGCCCATGCTCAGACTCTAAGACCAGACCTGAAATCAATCCTCCTTTCTGTTGATTGCTCGGTATGTTGTCACAGTGATGAAAAACTGATACACTCCCTGCAAGTAGATTTCCTGTGTTAGCAAGTGTTTCTCCATTTTCTTCATCTGCTGAGTTGCATCCCTTGCCTCCCCCACCCCACCCTGCCCACTCCTTTTAAATTTTTTGTTTTGAGATGGTCTTGCTAAATTGCCACAGTTGGCATCTAACTTTGAATGTTCTTCCATTGCCCTCATGAATATCTGGGACTACAGGCCTGTTCCACCACATCTAGCTCTATTTATATTTGTGTGTGAAGTATGTGTGTGCACATGTGCAAGCTAGGAAACACCTTTGGATTTGGTGCTTTCTTCCTTTAAATAGGTTCTAGGGATCAAACTCAGTATTGTTAAGTCTTATGCAGAACCACCTCACCAGTCCTTAATTTGCATTAAGATTGCTAATCTCAGCAAACATGTTTGCTGTTTGGTGGGGTGAGTTTAAATTTTTTTTTTAAATAATAAAGGTTTTTGTTTTTTTTTTTTTTTTTTAAAGAATTATTTATTATGTATACAGTGTTCTGTGTGCAGGTCAGCCTGCACACCAAAAGAGGGCACCAGATGGTTGCTGGGAATTGAACTCAGGTCCTCTAGAAGAGCAGCCAGTGCTTTTAACCTCTGAGGCATCTCTCTAGCCCCCAGTTTGAATACTTTATTGACCTGTGTTTTTCATTATAAAGTGATTCAAACATAGAAAAAGTATATGTGTGTGTGTGTGTGTGTGTGTGTGTGTGTGTGTGTGTGTATGTATGTGTATACACATATATATATTTGGGGGTTGGGTTTTTTTTTTTTTTTTTTTTTTTTTTTTGAGATGGGATTTCTTTCTGTAGTCCTGTCTTATAACTGACTTTGTAGACTAGGCTGGCCTCCAATTCAAGAGATTTGCCTGCCTCTGCCTCCTGATTGCTGGGATCAAAGGTGTGCACCACCACCACCTGGCTAGAGTAACTTTTTAAAAATTTAGTATCCTGTGTGAATTCTGTCACTTTTCCCTGATTACTATAAATGTTTAAGGGGAACTAAGTAAATACTGTTGAAAGCTGCCCCTTTTGTGGGGAGGGGGCAGGGTCTCCTTATGTCCTGGCATTCACTGTACAGATCATGTTGGTCTTGAACACACAAAGATCTGCCTGCCTTGGCCTCTGTTTGCTAGAATTAAAGGTGTGTGCCACTGTGCCCAGTTTGAAAGCTGTTTTGTGTGGATCCCCATTTCATCCTCTGGCGTCTTACTCAAGTTAAATAGTATCTGCTTCCTATATGTACTTTGGTTTTTTTATTATTATTTTATGTGTATGGGTGTTTTGCCTGCATGTATGTTTGTGCACCACATGTGTGCCTGGTGCCTGTCTAGGTCAGGAAGAAGGAGGTGGATCCCCTGGCATTAGAGTTACAGACAGTTGGGAGCTGCAGAATGTGTGTCAGGATGAGCCTGGGTTCTCTGCCAGAGTAGCAAGTGCTCTTAACCACTGAGCCAATTCTCTATCCCTCCTATATCTGCTTTTAATCTTTACTGATATGTATATGCCTCCAGTGAATGTAATGGTTTTGTGTTTAAGATTTTAATTACATGGTATTATGTATTCTGCAACTAGCTTTTCATGCAGTTCTTTTTAAAAATGTATGTGTGCTGATACATATATAGCACTGCTTGTTCATTTTTCCAGTGCAAGGGCTTAAACCCAGGGCCTACTGTGCAAAATGACTACTCTACCACTAAGCTGTTATTTTCAGCTAATTCTCTTTAATTGTTTTTGTTATATCTACAAATTTTTGAATTATCTGTCAATGGGTTAACTTTCATGGACTTGAAATAGTCTCACTTGAATGGTGTTGTACTCTCTGGGTGTTACAGGTGCTGTGCTGCAAAGCTCGGCCTCAGAACCTTTCCAACCCTGCAGTAACCAGCAGCAAAGACTGAATTGCAGTATTTAGATTAGACTTTTTTCTTATTTTTTTATTTAGATGCACCAATACACTTCCTAGACTTTTCTTATTTTTTTATTTATGTATTTTTTTGTTTTTTGTTTTTTTTTTGAGACAAGGTTTCTCTGTGTAACAGCTCTTATTATACTGGAACTCAGTTTGTAGGCCAGGCTGTCCTTGACCTCAGAAATCCACCTGCTTTTGCCTTCCAGGAGCTAGGATTAAAGGTGTGAACGACCACCACCCGCGTCGGTTGACTCACAATGCTTCTAGCTCCAGTCCAGGGCACTCTGATGCCTTCTTCTAGCTCCTGCATACATATTGTGCACATAAACTTATGCAGACACACATAAGTAAATCCTTAAAAAAAAGCCTTTAATGTCTAAAATTATTATTTTTATTCCTTTTATAGAAGAATCGAAAGAATCTCTCTCTGATGAAGATGAGGAAGACGGTGATGATGTTGAACCCATTACTGAATTTAGATTTGTGCCCAGTGATAAGTCAGCATGTGAGTGTTCTATAATACTGGTCTTTTCTCTTTTAAGTTCACCTCTTCCACTGATAACACACATACCTCTCACCTTCATTATGATTACTTCCATTCTATTGCTTATATTCATTTTGGCCTTCTTAAAGTCATTGAGAGTGGCTACTTGCTAATGTCAAAAGTTGTGAATTTAGTAAGAATATTGTGAACAGCATGGTGCCTGGTTTGTTTTGTGCAAAGAGGATTCTGGTTAGTGTTATTGACCGATGTTGTTCACTGAATGTCACCTGTGCGAAGCACTTCCAAAGTTGGAAATGCTGAGACTGGTGGAAAGCACCCTGTCATACGACGGGAGCTTTATCCTAATCAGCAGTGTGACCAGTACTCTGACCTTTTTTCTTTCTCTCTCTCTCTCTGTCTCTCTTTCTCCTCAGGGTCTCTGTGTAGTTCTGGCTGTCTTTAGAACTTGCTGTGTAGACCTGGCCTCAAACTCACAGAAATCTATCTGCTTTTGCCTCTTGAGTGATGGGATCAAAAGTGTCAGCCACAACATCTGGGTTGACCTATTTTCTTAAATCTAACCTCCCATCTCAGTACTGTTTTGAATTCTTACTTTGTGACTTGTTCATTGTCTCAGGCACTTTTGGAATAGGCTGTGCACTTTTCATGATCCACTTTTATTTGAACTTTGCAGAATTTTATAAGTATTGTTAACCTAATACATCTTTTGTCTGCTTTTAAATTTGTTTGTACTGATGATTGTTTTTGTAAAACTTTGTGGTGCACTGGGAAAAAACTAAATATTAGTTACGATTTAATGTCTTTGCTCAGTGGAGGCAATGTTCACTGCGATGTGTGAATGCCAGGCCCTGCATCCAGACCCTGAGGATGAAGACTCTGATGATTACGATGGAGAAGAGTATGATGTGGAAGCACATGGTTAGTGACTTGGATCTTAAGTGTTGGTTTTCGTGTTGTTTCATTTTAAGCATGTAGTTGTACTATGGGCACAAGACTTTAGTGTTTTGTATGTACTTTCATAAAGTAACAATGTAAGATTATTATAAATAAAGGGATGATACATTGGCACACTTTGTCTAGGCCCTTTCAGCAGACCAACTGAGGAGTGAATGAATTTCCCATGCTCAAACAACAATAAGAGATTATCAGGGTTGTGGGCCGGATAATAGAAACAAATAGGAAAGAAAATTAATAGCTAGAAAGAGGGTAGTCAAGAGCATACTTTAGACTGAGTGTACCCATTGAGAAGTCTGTTTACGTGTATCTCTTCAAAATTATTTTTTATTTATTTTATATCAATGGGTGTTTTCTTTGAGTTTATATATGTGCAGTACATATATGGCTGGTGCCCTCAGAGGCCAGAAAAGGATGTGGGAACCCCCAGAACTAGATAGAATTACAGTTTTGGACTGCCAGCTGGGTGCTGGGAACCAAGCTCCTGTCCCCTGCAAGAGCAGCAAATACTCTTAACTGAGAGTCATCTCTGCAGAGTCTTGTTGATCTCTTTATTCACGTAATTCTTGACACAGCTTATGAACAATAATTTTCTTTTCCTCAGAATCATACTTCATTTATACCTACAAATATTTCCCATTGTCTTCCTAGGCCAAGATGCATTCACTGGCATGATAGGCTTGTAGCCTGAGGCACAAACTGTTGTATTTGCATTTCCTCTCTGGTCTTTTTCTTTTTTTTCTTTTTTTTTTTTTTTTTTTATGTTTGTTTATTTATTTACTTATTTATTTGCCCCTCCCTCATTTCCTCCCACTCTCTCCATTTCCATCTGCTCCATGGAGAGGATAAGGCCTCCCATAGGAAGTCTACTACATCTGTTCCATCATCTAGTTCTGTCTCATCATCTAGTTGAGTCAGGACCAAGGCACCTCCTCACCCCCACACCCTAGTGTCTAGGCTGGACATGGTATCTCTCCATGTAGAATGGGCTCCACTAAGTCAGTTTGTGCATTAGTGTTAGATCTTGGACCCCCTGCCAGTAGCCTCATATATTGTCCCAGTCCCCTCTGGTCTTATGCATACTGGTTTACATATCTACATATGAATCCAGTTCCTGGCCTGAGATTCCTCATTTCTGGAATTGTTCTTCACGTACATAAGTGTGTGCTCACTTCTTAGAGATTTTTTAAAGTGGTTTTATATTTTGTCCTTTTTATATTTTTAGAGATTTTCTGATTTGTTTTAAAAAGAACATATGTTAATTCAAAATCCTTTCAGTGTCAAATTAATTTGTATTTACTTGTAAAATTCCCACCTTTGGAATAATAAAGGATTCACTGTTTTTGAAACACCCTCTCTTCCTTCTAGACCTCAGACAAGTCCATTCTCTGGAAACTAATATTTACAAGTTTATTATCTCTTAAATGCTTTCTCAGCCTAGAGGGTAGGGACATATTTTCTTCTTTGAATTTTTTTAAACCTAATCAGTAAGTTTTGGAAGTCTTTCTGGAAGCCTGTATGTCTTAGGCAAATGCATTATTGTTTATCGTTTTGTTTTGTTTTTTTCTGTTTGTTTAGAACAAGGACAGGGGGACATCCCTACATTTTACACCTATGAAGAAGGACTATCCCATTTAACAGCAGAAGGGCAAGCCACATTGGAGAGGTTAGAAGGAATGCTTTCTCAGTCTGTGAGCAGCCAATATAACATGGCAGGAGTCAGGACAGAAGATTCAGTAAGAGATTATGAAGGTGAGTTCTCTTTCTTTTCGGAGTAAACAAATTGTTCTAAATCTTAAACTGAAAGGCAATGAAATATCACAATCTAAAAGTATAGGAAGTAAATGTAGAATTACTGGAATGAGAATGTTTTTGTTGTTTTGTGTCCTGTTTACCCTTGCCTCCCAAACTGTGTCAACTATACAAATGGTCTAGGGCCAGCAAGATGCTCAGCACATAAGGTACTCTCTGGAAGCTGTGTGGTGGGAGGAGAAAATTGACTGTGTCTATTTAGCAGCAAATAGTAAGATATCCGTAGGGCCTGTGATTGGTCCATCCACAAGCTTTTGGTCCAGTTAACGGTAGTAGACATTGGTTCCATTTGTGGAACAGGTCAAAAACCCAGTCAGAAAGTATGGTCTCCTTAGTAATGTTCATGCCATTATTGCACCAGTGGGCCTATCTTGCCAGGCCATTAACTACTGTGGCTCTCAGGGTTTACAGCTGGGTAAGACTGTTCATTTCTTTTCTCCCCCATTAATGTGGATAGCATCTTCTAGAACTATGAAACCTAGCCAGAGAGATGCTTCTGAGTTGGTGTCAGCTTGATTTCCTGTGTTCTATTGTTCTGGGATGTGGTGTCTTCAGCAATAGGCTCCTTTCCAGCTTTTTTCATTGCTTATTTAATGACAGGAAAGGGAGGGGAAGGAAGATGCACATGGGAGGGTGCATGTGTTACTATCAGAAGACAACTTTTGGGAGTTAGTGTTCACCTAACATTGTTGAGGCAGGGTCTCTTTGCTATTCTGCATGCTATGGGCTTTATGGCCTTTAAGCTTGGGGATGATTCTCCCATCTGTAGCACTGTAGGAGTGCTGGAATCCAGCTCTACATGGATTCCCAGGACTAGGAGCCAGCTCAGGTTGTGGGGCTTGCACAGCTATCACTTTGGCTTCCTGAGTAATTTCCTCAGTCTCCACTATTCAGTTTTGGCTCTGAAGGGATGGTTTACCCCAAGTATTGGCAGTACTGTGTCTTCTAACCTCAGCCTGATTACGTGCCACTCCTGATTTAGCATTTATATATATATATATATTTACTCATTTAGTCCTTCTAAGTACTCTGTTGAATAAATTTATGATCCACATTTTACACATTCGACAAACGAGGCACAGAACCATTGCATTGGTTGAGACCAAACTACTGATAAGTGGTAAGAGAACTAAATGAGCCATTATACAAAATGTGCCTGTCACTGTCATAAGCACTTCTTACATGTTTGTTTGTTTGTTTGATCTTTTTGGTTTTTCAAGACAGGGTTTCTCTGTATAGTTTTGGAGCCTATCCTGGAACTTGCTCTATAGACATGCTGGCCTCAAACCCACATAGATTTGCCTGTCTCTGTCTCCCTATTAAAGATGTGCACCACCACCACCTGGCACACTTCTTGCATTTTATGTGTTTAATATATATTACTATTTTATGCTCTGGTAACATCATAACCCTTGGTATTTTTAATGATTGCAGGGTATTCTTGAAGCGACTTTGTTTAGTTTTTCTTCTATTGGTATACTTAATACCTCTCATAATGCTATGATTACTATCTCCATGCATATAGCATATTGACCCGGGATTCTTGGAGTTCTGGTCTATTTGGGCTTGGGAGTAAGAACTGTATCTTACTATATTGACCATGCTGATCTTAGACTAGTAAACTCTAGTGATCATCTTATCCCAGCTTGTAACATTATGTGTCGAGGTGATAGGGTCCCAGGGGGCTTTTGGCAGATGTTTGTGTCAGGTAAAGAGTTGAGTGGTCAGGAGTGAGGAAGTAAAGAAAGCAACTGTAGACTTTTTTAGAGCACTGTTTTCCTCTGCCCTCTTCTCACACCTTTTTAAAAGCTGTGTTGATGGCGCATGCCTTTAGTCCCAGCACCTGGGAGGCAGAAGCAGGCAGATCTCTCTGTGAGTTCAAGACCAGCCTGGTCTACAAAGAGCTAGTCCCAGGACAGCCTCCAGAGCAATACAGAGAAACCCTGCCTTAAAACTAACAAAACAACAACAAATTGTCTGAGTGTGTTATTTTACCTGCATATGTCTGTGCACCAGTTGTGGTTGGTGTCCTTGGAAGCCCGCAGGGGGTGTCAGATCCTCTGGCACTGAAATTACAGATAGTTGTGATCTGCCATGTGGGTGCTGGGAACCAAACCTGGGCCACCTGAAAAAGCAGCCAGTGTTCTTACCTGCTGAACCATCACTCCAGCCTTCGCCTTTTCGGTGAGATGACAATAAAGGGGAGATAAAATTCTGTTCTTTACATTTCCCACTATGCTGTGTCTTAGGCTTTTTGAGGGTATTACCAAATGCCTTTAAATAATGTCTAACACTAAATACTTCACATAGTTCCTCGAAGAATGAACAGTTAATGTCTACTACATTTGAAAATTCCTACTAGCCAGACATCCTAGCATTTGGGAGGTGAGCCTGGACTACCCTATGAGTTTGAGCCAGCCTAGGCTACATAGCAAAACGTTGTCCAAGAAAATTTAAAAAGAAAAAAAAGGAAGGAAACACATGAAGTGACTAGGATTTCTGGGAGTTGTATGATGTTAAATGTTTGGGCTGATTTTTTACTTGACTTAAATCCACAGGAGCATTTTCATTTCAGTCTCTTTTTTGGGTAATTTAGTTTTCAAGATGGACATGTGGAAATGGAGGCATGAGATAGCCTGGCATGATACATCCCTGCAATTCTAGGAACTAAGGACAGCCTTAATTGCATGAGACCCTATTTCAGAACCAAAACAAAACTCCAAAATTTTAAAATCCAGTTATTTTTATTTTATTCTTTGAGTTTGGGACTCACATGTGGCTTTGGCTGTCATGGAACTTACTACACAGACTAGACTGGCCTCAAACTAGTTCTATCTGGCTCTGCCTCACAAGTGGTGAAACTAAAGGTAGGCACTATCATGCCCAATTTTTAAAATGTTAATTCTTGTCACTAGAGGGCACTGACATCCTTGTTGAATCTGCCTGACTGAAGTCCAATCCCTTTTCAGATGGCATGGAGGTAGATACCACACCAACTGTTGCTGGGCAGTTTGAGGATGCAGATGTTGATCACTGAAGATGATTTATGCTGCTAAACAGTGAGTAGCTTATTATCTCCTTTGTCACAGTCCTGTGAAATGATTGGTTTTTTTAATTACTAATTTAAGAGAACTCTGTATAATGAATGAACTCTATAAGTTTAGCAGTTTGAAAAAATGTCTCCCATCTCTGGTTACTGAAAATCACACTTTTTTTTCCCCTAAGAAATCAGAAATTTGTAAACATTGTAGTATGGGTTTAATATCTGCCAAGCACTATACTAAGATGGTAGAGTATATGCTAGTATGACAAGGTAGAGTATGACAAGAACAAGTGAATTTATGAGAGTAGCAGTTAATGGAAACATCTGTTCAGAGCAGACCTCCCTGTTGGCTCGAGCAAGAGTGACAGCCTAAGCCTGTCTTGGTCTGCTCTTGAGTTACTTTATTCATTTGTGTTAATTGAGCCCTGTTCACGGTTTGTTGCACCTTACCGCTTTTCAATTCTGGGGGGCAGTAACATAATTCTAAACTGAGCTTAAGACATTATAATCTTGTATTGCTGTCATTCTTTCTGGAAGAATAGGGGATAGATGTCCTATGTACCTTAGTGTTCAAAGCTGATTTGTCTAGGCCATGTACAGTCACCCAAAAGCCATTATTTCTCTGCGTTCTTTCCTGTCTGTCCTTAATGATTGACATATTGGTCTCTGCCAGTTTTGTTTCCTTTGCCTTAAGTTTGTCCCTGAGTATTTGCTATTCTGTAAACCCTGAGAAATGCATTGCCTTTTCCCTAATGGCTGTAGTTTGTTAGATAATTGAAGGACAAGGACTAGCAGCTGCAGAGTCTTTCCTTACAATCTGCAAAAATTTTCCTTGTAAAATTGTTGTTCCTTGTTCCCTATAATAATGTCGTCCTTCCTTCTAAATACTGGCTATTTCCCAGCATTTTAGCCAGTGTTATCCGGGTCCTTTTATTTTATTAAAGAAAGACAAGACAAAATGTGTATCATTTTGATTTGATACTGCCGCTACTACCAGTCATTTAGTTATGCTTTGAGTACCTTCACTGTCCCTGCTGTGATTGTGATTCAGTGTCAGAGAACTTGCCTAGCATGTTCCAACCCCTCAGTTCAGTCAGTCCTCAGCACTAGGGAAGGGAAAATTCCCTTTGTTCCTTGCTTTGTTCTGGTGTAGATGTCATTCTGAACCTTAAGATTATCTTTGTATTTATTTACTTGGAAATTTGAACTTTTTAACTCTTCTACCCTTGTTCTGTTTTATATTAGAAACCAGTCTTTAAAATCCCAGTGTTTGGGCTGCAGAGATGACCCATTAGTTAGTAGCACTTGCTGCTTCTGTCGGGGACCCACATTGCAACTCACAAACATCTGTTAAGTGCAGTTCCAGGAGCATCTGATGCTCTCTTCTGGCCTCCACAGGCCCTGAATGCATATCTATCTACACATCCATGCATGCAAACACCTATACACATAAAATAAAGTTTTGTTTTGTTTTTTTAATTCCAGTGTTTACAAATTACTATAGTTGTAAAATAAATTATGAATTAAAACATTGGGTCTCTGTTTCCTTCTAGTATGGTTATCAAAAAAAATAATAATAACCTCAAAGAAAATTTGCACCTCTGTGATTTATATCTCATCCCATAAATATTTTCCTTCCTTGCACCTTTCTGTATTTCATGTAGTTTGCGGTCAGCAACATTCTCCTGTCTAACCTCAGTAGCTTTTCACTGGTGCTCAGTTAGGGTTCAGCTCTTGCAGTTCCAGATGTCACTAATTTCATCTTTCTACTTCTGTCTCTTTTCCATCAAGATTTATTTATTATAGTCCTGTGGTGGTGGCTCATACCTTTAATCCCAGCACTTGGGAGGCAGAGGCAGACGGATCTCAGAGTTTGAGGCCAGCCTGGTCTTCAGAGCGAGTGCCAGGACAGGCTCCACAGCTACACAGAGAAACCCTGCCTCAAAAAAAAAAAAAAAAAAAAAAAAAAAAGATTTATTTATTATGTATACAGTGTTCTGTTTGCAGGCCAGAAGATCTTACTATAGATGGTTGTGAGCCATCATGTCGTCGTTGAGAATTGAATTCAGGACCTCTGGAAGAGCAGCCTGTACTTTTAACCTCTTAGCCAGCCCTCATCATGGTCTCAATAGCTTTTTTTTTTTTTTTTTGCCAGTGACTGTCATTTGTAAGTGTATTATTGGCCTGGAAGACAATATTTTGTATAATCTGGCTTTCCCATATTTCTTTGAAAAATTGGCTGTTAAGAGTTTATCATTCTGCAGCCATCATGAGAAACTCAATTGACATGTCACCAGTGGTTACACACTGGATTCTTGGATTCTTTGTAATGGTGAAATAACCATGAAATTGCTATGAATATTCTAGTGAGCTGCTGGTTTGTTTTCTGCTCAGTTTATTCTTTCTGCTCAATGTCAAAGAAATACTATATTCATAAATTTTATTTATGCTCATCTGAGTAGTTGGCCTGATTTCAAAACAATGTGATTTTTAAATCATTTAAGATTGTATGTGTTTTTAAAGCCTGAACAAGGACTAAAATGTTCATTTAACCATTAATAATTTCAAAATAATGGACCTCTGGGTGCATGAGATAGGATACAGAATATCGTGCAGTCACTGCTCTACCGTGATGTTTATGTGCACGCTACCATCAGGATGTGAATACATAACTTAACCATTCCTTGGTTTTCTCATCTGTAAAGTGGGGTGATATTGGCTGCCTGATGGGCTCCTTACAAGGCCTGAGAAACAGTAAGTCTGGAACTCTACAAGGCTGTACAAAACAATGGCTGTTAGTAATAACAACTGTAAACCTTTTGTCTTTCAGATTATCTCATAATGGTAGGCGAGAACTTGGTGCGTCTTCCAGTCCAGAGTAGGGCTGGTGAAAGGCTTTTTCTTTCTCCAAAACTTACTTTGCAAGACAGACTATAATGAGACAGTAAGCTGTCACCAGCAGAAGAGACTGAGACCTTTATCAACAAAGGTGAATTAACTGAGCGGGTATTTTTGGTTCTCATTTACCCCCAAGCTTCCTGGGTCTAGGTGTCTTCCTTAATAGGCCTCTAATTCCTGCCTTTGCTGTATGTACATCTGTCAGCCAGAAGGCCTACGAGGTGAAATGTACAGAGCTCATACTATACAGACTGGGTAAGAAACATGCTGAGAAGAGAAGTACAGGCCTCAGAGGAGGCAGGCTCTATCTAGCCTTTCCCACAGAGGCGTGGGTCCTTTACTTCAGGCTGACTCTAGGTCATCTCCAGGGAACACCTCGCCAGGACACAATACTTCTGTGCTAGCTTCTGCCCTCCTCCTCATTCCCCAGTTGCTCTATTACATTCTCCCAGCTTAGATCCTTGACAGTCTGGCTTTCTGTAACATAATAAGTAATCTGTAATGAAGTCTGCAAAGTACTCTTTGATGTTTTTGTCTTTGTAATAGTTAATAAATAAATCTAGATTTTCTATATCATTGTGGTTTTGTTCTTGACTAAAACCATTAATGAGAAAAAAATTCAGATTTATTTTATGTGTATGAGTGTTTTGCCTGTGTGTATGCGTGTATAACGTCCCTAGTGCCCATGGAAGTCTGAAGAGGGTGTTGATACCTCTAGAACTGGAGTTAACAGACATTTGTGAACTGCTATGTGGATGCTGGGAACTAACCCCAGATCCTCTGCAAGAACAGCAAGTATTTTTAACTGCTGAGCCATCTTGCCAGATCAGCACTTGCTATTCTTTGGGGGACCCGAGTTCAGTTCCTCCAAATCTATATTGGGCAGCTCACGGCTGCTATAATGCCAACCTCTTCTGGTTTCCATTGGCACTCAGATACACATGCAAAGACATACACCATACACATACATAAATAATAAAGCGATGCTGGGGTAGGGACTGTGGATTAGTTGCTAGAGTGCTGGTCTGGCTACAGGAAGCCCTGGGTTTAGTTCCTAGTGTTTTATAAACTAGGCCTGGTTGTATATGCCTGTAAATCCTAGCACTCAGGAGGTAGAGATAGGATCAGAAACTAAAGGTCATGCTCAGCTAGGTAGCACATAAATACAGAAGTAAATATTAGTACCCAGGCCTAGTGAGAAGTCTCAGCAGTTAAGAGCTTGTACTGCTCTCGGCAGGGGATCCAAGTTTGTTCCCCAGCCCACACATCAGATAGCTCACAATCAATGTGTATCTCTTGCTCTACAGGATCCAACAGCTCTAACCTCTTTAGGCATCTGCACTCATATTCGTGTGTGCATGGAAACCTGAGACTGACATTGGAGACTTCCTCACTTGCTCTCTACATTATTATTTTTTTCTTTTTTTTTTTTGAGACGGTCTCAAAATTCTAGGCTGGCCTAGAATTCACAGAGATCCACCTGCCTCTGCCCTCTTAGTGCTAGAATTAAAGGCATGATTCACCATGCTCATTTTTAGTTTTAATCATCTGTATGTACATGTGAGTGTGGTTGCCTAAGTAGGCAAGAGGGTATCAGATCCCCTAGATCTGGAGGTACAGGCAACTGTAGGCTGTGTGATGTTGCTGGGAACTGAACCTCAAGAATAGTATGTACTTTTAACACTGATTCATTTCCCCAGGCCATGGTTCATGCACAACTTTAATCCCAGCATTCAGGAGGCAGAGGCAGGTGAATCTCTGGGAGTTCAAGGCCAGCCTGGTCTATAGCATGAGTTTCAGGAAAGGCTCCAAAGCTACATAAAGAAACCTTGTCTTGAAAACAAACAAACCAAGAAACATTGATCTATCTCTCCATCGCGATGCACCTACCTACTTACCCTCCCTCCTTCCCTCCCTTCCTTCCTTTCATTTTTCAAGACACGGTTTCTTTATAGCTTTGGAGCCTGGGAAACTGGCCAGAAGTTTTTCGCTGAGTTTCTCATCTTGCAAAGTAAGCCCCCCCCCAAAAAAAATTATTTTTTTTCCCTTTTTGTATCTTAAAAACTGGCTTTTCAGAAGTTCTGAATTTGTTAGACTAAGCCAGATAAGAGGCCAGTTGAAAATAGAAATTAAAATTTTCTGTGGCCTCTTGAGCAGCAGCCACTGCGCTGGGTTCTTCCCATATGTGGTGTGTGACAGTAACTGATCTGTGAGGCAGCAGTGATGCTTTTAACACTGTGCCGCCAGGAGGAACTGAGTCCTGGAGACAGGACTCCCCTAAGGTTATATGGATATTGAACTGTGGCTTTTAAGCCTATTTTCCAAAGCATAGTACAGCCTTAGTACCTACCAGCAGCCGGCACCCAATACAACTCCCTTCTACACATTCCTCTGCTCTCAGTCTAAACCTAGGAATGTACTCATGGACTTTCTCATGGGCTGATCGTAGAAATTTCATTAAGTATCTTCCTATCAAAGAGGTTCTCAAACTGGGTTACATCCCTTTCAGAGGTCGAATGACCCTTTCACAGGTCACCTAAGACCATCAGAAAACACAGGTATTTACAGTATGATTCATAATAGTGGCAAAATTACAGATATGAAGTAGCAACAAAAGTAACTTTATGGTTGGGGTCACCACAACATGTGAACCATATTAAAGGGTCACAGAATTAGGAAAACTGAGAACCACTGCTCTAAAGGAACAAGTTTCAGGAAATTATGTACACTTTCCCTTCTGAGGGGTTTATGGTACTTGGCTTGCTACTGCAGGTGACACAGTAAAGAATCGGGGACCAGTTGTCAGCTCTACTTTAGTAGACATCTGGGCCTACTCTGTCACCTGTAAATGAGGGCATGATACTTCAAAGACTTGACTATCTGTAATGCTAGGCGGTTACATCCAGATACTGAATGGGAAAGGTCAGGTCAGCCTATAAAAATGAAACTCATCCTGCCTCACAAGACAGGCAGGTGGATCTCTGTGAGTTCAAGGCCACCTGGTCTACATAGCCCCAGGGCTACATAGTGAGATCTTGTTTCAAAAATGAAAGAAAAATAATTTATAATTATCAGGAAGCCAACTTTTACTGATTCTATTTTAGCTGTAGCTTTAGAATCTGTCCTGGAACTCACTCTATAGACCAGGCTGGCCTCTAACTCACAGAGATCCACCTGCCTCCCAAGTGCTGGGATTAAAGGCCTGTGCCCCTACTGCCTGGCTTTTTTTTCTTTTTTTTCCTTTTTTGAGCTTAATTTTGTGTTACTGAAATTGTCATGCTTACATGATTTTGTAGACATTCTTCTCTCCAGTTTGACTCATTGAAATGTCACAGAAAAGTAGCAGTTCTGTTTTCAAATCTCATTAAAAACAAACAAAATATGCTGAGGTTGGAAGCATGCCTTACCATTGAGAACACTGCTGCTCTTCAGGGTATCTACATCTCCTGGCCTTCAGAGGCACTGCATATACTTGGTACACAAACGTAAGCATGGACAAAATCTGTACACATAATCTAGTGTCAAATGAGAAGTCAGAGACTAGGTATGGTGTGTAATCCCAGTGCTGGGAAGGTAGAAGCAGGATGCTCAGGAGTTTGAGCCTGGCCTGGACAATGAAATCAGACCCTATCTTTTTTAAAGAGAAGTAGCTTGAGGGATAAGGGAGCTAAATAAAGCATATACAGGGTAACTGATTCTGCTTGGAATTTTTTGAGATTGTTTCAGAGATTATTAGTCATTGGTATACATAACATGTTTATCACAACAAAGCATAGAAAGTAGCTCATCAACTGTTTAAGGTTAGTACTGGCTTCATTTAGTTTTTTATTTATTTCGAGGTAGGAGAGTGTGATGCCCAGACTGGGCTTGAGTTTGACATGTAGTTTAGGGTGACCTTGAACTTTTCGTCCTCCTGCCTCTACCGCCTAAGGCTGAGATTACAGACACATGCTGCCACACCCAGTTTTGATGTGGTTCTAGGGATCCAGCTCAGGGCTGCACGGTAGGCAGACACCAACTGAGCTGCATCCAAACCCTAATACTGACTTTCTCAAGAGATGCTGTAACTAACCCACCACTGAAGTTAGAATACATCTATCTAAGAAACTTTATGTTAAATTCCACTAAGCAGTTAAACATCATGGAGTCCCTACTTTTGTAATATTTTTTTCTCTGTAAACAGATCTAATACACTTGTATCTGGTTTCCAGGACCAGATGATGAGAGTGAAGGCATTGTTACGGTCATTTCAATAGAAGCAGTGAATTACAACAGCATTATGATGAAAAGCAAATACACAATCCTTCCAAATAAACAGTCTAAGTACAAGTGCAGAATTAAGCTTTCAATATGAAGATAGTGTGGCACTTTTCACAAAATAATAGAATTGTAGTGCTAAATCCATCCAAATGTAGCTAGCTTAAAGCGGGAAAGAAACCGTTAGAGAACTGAGGCTGTAGCTTAGCGGTGGAGCACTTACCTAGCACGTACAAAGCCTGGGTTCATCCTCAGCATCATTCTCTCAAAAAAAAAAAAAAAAGAAAAGCTGGGCTAGAAAGCTAAAATAAACCAGATCCATAAAGGAAATTAGGGACCAGGAGTGGTTACATAGTGTGAATCATTTGCTGGTATTAGACAGATTTAACTGTTTGTTCCCTTTTCACCACAACTAAGATTCAGTGTTAACTTGGTTGTGTGTAAATTGCAAAAACCAGAGACCATCTGGCCCTTTCAGCCTTTGTAATAGAAGAACACTGGGCCTGTCCAGACTCACAGGAAGGATTTGTAGATGCTTATTTATGAGAAATGTACATTATCTACTGCAACTGTGAGTCTAAAGTATGTGTGTATGGGTGGGCAGATAGAGAAAATCAGTTGACATTGTATTCTGTTGCATGTAGAATAAGCACACAGTTGCATTTGGTTAAGTTGTAGTTATTGTGTGTTAGTGTGATAGACAGGGAAGGGAGCTAAGGATATAGCAGGCATGTTTGTGACAGTGATTGTCCACATGACCTAAACTATAAGTAGGAAAGAGATTTGAGGTCATTGGAGATGAGGTTCTTAGAGTGAGGGAGCTTAAAAGAGGTTAGAATTGGAGGTTAGATTATGTGAGTGCATAGATTTTGTTCACTGATAATGACAAGCTTGTAGCTAAGGGAAACTCAGAGGCCAGGACATTGGAAGGGTCCTTTTGTGGGTTTCAGTTACCGAGACACTGTAATATAGAGTAATGTTCCACTAAGAGGTGGAACTAAGGTCTGAAAATGGGTTGGAGAGATGGCTCAGTGGTTAAGAGCACATGCTGCTCTTCCAGAGGACCCACTGTCTGGAACTTTAGCTCCAGGGGATTCAACAGTCCTCTTCACACACACATGGCATATACTCACACAGACACATTAAAATAGTTTTAATGAAGGAAAGAGATTTTTATTTTGGCTTAATGGTTTCAGAGGGTTGAGAGTCCATCATGGCAAGGTAGAGGCATGGCAAGTGGCAGGCACGGTGGCTGGAGCAGAAAGCCTACAGAACACATCATTAGCCACAAATACACACGGAGAGCAAAACAGAAG